TCCCATGACTGTTTGGCATAGAAGCTTTCTGATTCCAAGAACTTCACATCTCTAGAGATTATAACTCGGCGTGTAGTGGGATTATAGCACTTGTACCCCTTTTGTGTAGTAGAGTAGCCAATAAACATACACCTTGTGCTCTTGGCATCCAGCTTTGTTCGAAGGTCTCCTGGGATTAAGGCAAAACAAACACACCCAAACACTCGTAAGTGATTAAGAGAGGGTTTAGTTGAGTTGAGTACCTCATATGGTGATGAGTCATTGAGGACTTTGGTTGGTATTCGGTTGATCAGGTAGCAGGCTGTAAGTACAGCATCTCCCCAAAACCGCTTTGGTACATTGTTTTGAAACATCATGGATCTGGCCACCTCCATTAAGTGTCTGTTCTTCCTTTCAGCAACACCATTTTGTTGGGGCGTATAAGGACAGCTGGTTTGGTGAATGATGCCTTGTGAGGTAAGATATTCTTTGAATAAGTTGCTTGTGTATTCTTCCCCATTATCTGATCTGAAAATCTTAATCTTGGCATTAAAATGGTTAGTTATGTGAGTTTGAAAGTTCCTAAATGCCTCAAAGACTCTATCTTTTGATGGGAGGAGAGTTAACCAAGTATACTTAGACTTTTCATCTATGAAAGTAACAAAGTACTTGTTTTGATCTCTAGATTCACAAGGGGATGTCCAAACATCAGAGTGAACTAAGTCAAAACATTTTTCATAAATGGTAGAAGACTTAGGAAAAACAGTTCTACAATGCTTTCCTAAGATACAAGCCTCACAATCATCATTCTTAAACACTACTTCAGGTAATAAAAGACTCAATGCACGAGCATGAGGATGTCCTAATCTAGCATGCCAAATCGCATTATTATCACAAGCTACAACATTATTAGAAGAAGCAAAGGTAGGATCTAAAAGCTTAGTGTCTTCAAGAACATAGAGATCATCTTTGGTAGTCCCTTTCCCAAGCGTTTTGCTGGTCTTAATATCCTGAAAACACACTTCATTAGGTCCAAAGATAGCAATACAGTTTAAATCAGTTGTAGCCTTCTTTACTGATAATAAGTTAGATGTAAACGTAGGCATGTAGAAAGCTTTAGAAGATCTCTCAAATAGCTTAAGTTCTCCTATTCCCTTAATTGGAACCTTTTCCCCATTAGCAATCTCAACATTTCCTATTGTTGGTTTTATGTTGCTAATTAAGCTTAAATCACTAATCATGTGATGAGAAGCCCCTGAATCAACTATTAATGGCTTATTCTTAAGTGTATGTGAAGAACTATAAGAATTACCCATATTTTGAATCACATGAAAAGAGGTACCAAGAGTGTTACCAGACTCCTTAAACGCTTTGATCAGGGCATCCAGGTCTGATTTTGTCACGAATTGAGATGAGTTTGCTGCTCCTTCTCCAGGGGTATTCTTAGAGCTTTCGCCTTTGTGAGCCACCTCTTCTGAAGCAATCCTAGCCTTTCCCTCCTTCCACTTCGGTTTTAGGTGAGGATGAAGACTCCAGCAACCTTCTTTGGTATGCCCCTTTCTCTTGCAATGATCACAGAATGAGTTTCTCTTCTCATCAAACTTGTAGGCTCCTTTGTTGGCTGAGATCAGTTCTCTATTTCCTCCAAATAGGCCGAGTGATCCTTGCTCCTTTTGGATTTGGGAACAGACTTCTTCAAGCGTTGGTAGCCTTTCTGCTCTGAGAAGATGTTTGATGAGATCATTGTAGGTTGAGTTGAGAGTCAAAAGCAGCCCAAAGACCTTGTCTTGCTCCCTTCTTTCATTCAAAATTTGTGGGTCCACAGTACTTGGCCTTAGCATTTCCAGCTCAGCCCATAGCGCTCTGAACTTTCCAAAGTGTTTGGTAAACTCCGCATCTTCTTGCCTTAGCTCATTGATGGCTTTCTTGACTTCAAAGACACGGCTGAGATTAGAGATGTTGCCGAATACTTGCTTCAGGGTCTCCCATAGCTCTTTGGCGGTTTCACAGTATGAGTAAGCCTCCAAGATTTCAGTGCTAAGGGAGCTTTGTAGGAGAGCAAGGACGGTCTGATCTTCCTTGTACCAATGGGTCTCTTCTGTTGGGACAATGGCGGCTCCGGCGGCTGGTGGTGCTGCTATGGGGGCATCGCTTGATACATGTCTCCAAAGACCTCTTCCACACAAGGCGGTTCTTGTGGTCCTTGACCACAGTAGATAGTTCACTCCTTTGAGTGTAACTGGTAAAGCCAATGGCTTATTGTTCTCCATGGCCATGAAATTTATTCTATGGACCTATGGGTAAAGATATGGACCGTTGGGGTAAATGGTTTTAGAAATGAGGTATGGGTGATTTAGAGGATAAGCGAATGAGGATATAGGTGATTAGAGGGGTTTAGAGTGATTTTGGAGTTTAGAAGATCATTTAAGAGATTTCAAAAGAGATAAAGAGAGTAAGGACCGCTGGGTAAAGATTTTGAGAATTTTCTGTAAACTGAAAGAGAGACAGCGAATAGTGAAGAAGCAAAATGAGAGAGGATGAGAATCAGAGTTTGTGATCCAAAGATCTACACAACTCGCTCTGATACCATGTTAGAATTTGCGGAATGATACTTAGAGAAATGAGTGAAGAACATAACAGAGAAGAGAGAATGAGTTAAGGATGATTATATTTCCTTAAGTTATTCATTACAAATGATATCGAATGTCTATTTATAGACCATACAAATCGGTTCTAAAGGCTAAGGGAGATAGTGACACAAACAATAAACAAAGAGGATGTGGTCCTCAAAGTGAAAGCGACACTTCATAAGAGTCTCCAACGTCCACAAGCTTAACAAGAACATGTGACCTTATCTTCTTTGATTCCTTGAGCTTGTGACCGTTGCTAGGCTTAACTAAGGTCAATTATATGACCGTTGCTTCCTTGATCATCACTCTTGCTTCCTTTGTGTGATCTTCTTCCTGGAGCCTCACGGTTGTGACTTGTACGGACACTTCTCTAACTTGATCATTTTGACATTGTAGAACCCTCTAATAGACTGACCGAAAGAAACAAAAAGATATCTGAATCGACCATCGTAATCAGTTTTGTAATTAGTATGCGTACCCGAATTAGCTTCTTTTAGCATGTGCAAGTATTTTGGTATTCTAACATAACTTTTCTCTGGAATACCTCTAACAGCATTAACTGCATATTCACGGGACTCCCATGCTTGGTTATAAGAGATCTCGCAACCATGCTCCACACGCATAATCTGTATAATATCATTCGGCTTAGGCCATTCCTTGGCACTCTCATACTTGTGCATAATCAGATTGCCAATCTTTTTTGCTGAAGCTGTCCTACCGGATTTGTTTTTCCTTGAAGGAGCACATGTATGTTTAGCCACATACTTGTTGATTTTGAAATAGGAAGATCCATTTAAAGACTCAGCGCGAACAGCCCACTTGCATACTTTATCTGTGCAGCGTATACTCCACCATCTTGTAGTAGATTGTACAACCCTATAGTCAAAGTTATACTTCATTGCACAAATTTCCAGAGTTGCCTTCAAAACGTTTTTGCTTCCGAAATGTTGTCTCTTCTTCACACAATCCACTGGCCAAAACTGATCTTCCTTTTGATTGCCTTCTTTGTTTTCAGACATGACTTCATCATCACCACCACAGTCATCATTCACCTTAGCCACATTCACAAATTCTTCTGATTTTTCAGGCAAGTTAACATCATCTTCTCCAACACTTGAAAGAGATGGTTCCTTATTCAAATCAATGTTGAGTCTACTTTTTCGATTGTCAACTAGAGCTGTAAATGTCACACACAACTGTACTGACAAATACCTCCTTGCATATCCAACAAAATTTCTCACTTGCCGATCATTTGTGATGATAACTGGGGGAGATCCTAAGGTACTGATCAAATCAATAGGTAGATAACTGAACTCGACATAACTAACGCCTTGTTCAATCTCGTAGTCCTCTAAAACCATCGTCTTTAACTCCTCAAGACTGGTAATAGATTCCAAATCAAGTAATAGACCTCCTCTTTTTTTTATCAATGATGAATCTCCACTCCTTGTTCACATCCGATTTCCAACACCACATTTTACATAGATATACCGCATATTAATTGAACAGAAAACGCAGAGAAGAAAAAACCCTAGAAAAAGAGAGAAAAGAAAGAAATCGAGAGCTTGTGGAGTTATGGTTTTTGAAAGAGAAGAGAACTTACGCTCTTTGAAAGAGAAGAGAAAAAACCCTAGAAAAAGAGAGAAAAGAAAGAAATCGAGAGCTTGTGGAGTTATGGTCTTTGAAAGAGAAGAGAAGTTACTCTCTTTGAAAGAGAAGAGAAATAAATTTAAAAAATATTCAGTTAGGATTTTTTTTTCTTTTTTCCAGATTTTCCTTAGATTTTCGTAGAAGACATATTATACGTAGAAGACACCTTCTACCATTTAGTAGACAACAGAGTAAATGGTAGAAAATATATTCTACCACCGGTAGATGATAGAGAAAACAGTAGAAACTATATTCTACGGTCGGTTGATGATAAAGCAATAAGCAGAACACATATTCTCCCAAATCGTAGATGGTAGAATTTGAATTCTAACTTTCGGTATAAAAGAAAAAAATCAATTTTTCCAAGCAATTTTTTTTCATAAATAGATAGTTCTTTACTTTTATGTTTTTTTCATAACATAATCTGTTTTTTTCAGATTTAAAAATAATTTATTAATTTTTTTTTAATTTTTACATAAGGATTTTTTAGTCAAAATTTGACAAAATTTAAAAAGGTTTAATGGGACAATAAGTTAGTTTTTTGACCTATTTACACAAATTTCCCTTTTTTTACAGTTTAGGAAAATATATTTTTGGCTACTCAAAATGTCACCCAACAAATAACATTTGGAATCCTCACAAAGCATACTTGCTTGAATTAGTCGAAAATGATTAACACTTCTACATTACATCGATGCTATCTCCTTTTTCTGACAAATCTTATACGAAAAGATCTGAGAAATGTCCAGTCCAACTATTATGGTAAAGAAGTTCTCTATTATTTTTTTCATGGTTTTTAATTCATTTAGTTGTAAATGTCCCTTTGATAGAGAGCGAAAGTTCTTTATAGGGTTTTCTGCAAATTAACCCGCAAACTGGTTCTTTTCTGCAAATCAACCCTCGATTGTTTGAAAATGCAAGTTAACCCGCAACGTCTTGGTCAACCCGCTATATAACCCTCACTGTAATCGTTCGTTATATCGATGACGGAATCAAAAATGGTGCGTTTTGTACAGTGTCACCTTATCGAAAATCATGTTGTTTATAAAGAGCACGCAACCCTTTTTATTGCTCACAGACACATTGCTATCGGGAAATTGGGTTAGTAAATTTTTTATGTTGTTGCATTTCGTTTGTTCTAATGGATATCGGATTGGACATTTTAATGTACTTTGAATGTGATTTGTGGAATGTAGGATTTGAGAGGTTTTTATTAGGGAATGAAAGCATTTAGTTTGTATTTAATTAGTTCATATGTGGTTATATTTTTTAAAGACAGAGAAACCGTGCAGTAATAGTGAGTTAATCTGAAGGTCAATATTGTGTATTCTCAGCTTTGAAATCTGGTTTTTAGTTTGTGTGTGTTGTTGTGAAACCGCTAAAAATTGTAGTTATTGAGATTATGCTGCTTCATTGATAGAGATTTGTTTCATTGATAGAGAATGTGTTGGTTTCTCTTTTTGTGCAACAGATATGGCGATTCACAGCTATACTCAACCTTCAACTTCGGATTCAAGTGGAAGAAGCTATGGGAGGAGAGACGGTTCAAGAATTGCAATAAAAGAATATGGGCTAATGAAGGAATGCTACTGTGGAGCTCGGGCTATAATCGATACTTGTCATTCCCAGATTGACCCAGGAAGAAGGTTCTACACTTGCCCAAACGTAGGCGACGGAGACTCTCACATTTGGAAGTGGTGGGATGAGGCAGTCATGGAAGAGCTGAGTCTCATGGGTGTCGAGGCTGGCGAAGTAGCGGAGAAGATGGATTTGTTCACTTACTTGGATGATTTATATATGGCTACTCAGGAAATCAAGCAGTTGAAGGGTGTGGAGATTGAGACTACGAAAAAGATTGCGATGATGGAAATGGAGTTGGCCGAGATGAAGAAGAAGAGAAGTGGCTTTGAGATGCAGGTTGTGATTGCCGCATGTGTTGTTATCCTCTTATTTGGCATGCTTATTTGTCTTAAGTAAGACATATTGTGTTTGTAAGACCTTAGTTTAAGATGTCATCGAAGTTTAAGATTAAGACATATTGTGTTAGTAAACGGTTGTAACCTCTTAATTTTCTAGTGTTTTGTAAGGGTCTAATATGTACTACTCTCTGACTTTCCTATTTATCTAATCTTATTGTGTAATATTATAACTTTCCCATTTATCTGATTTTGTCTTTTGTAAGTGTTTTGTAAGGATCTACTTTGAATGTGTTAGTAAACCAAGTGTGTTTGACAAGCATAACCAATACTGAATAGAGAGTAAAACAGAAAAGCAAACACATCATACAAAGTTCCATATCAAAACACATGACAGCTTGACATAAGCAATAAAGTTTTAGACACACATAAAAAGAACAAGCAACAGAGTTTTATAAACTTAACCAAGTCATACATAAGCAACAGAGTTTGATAACATGAAACGCTAAAAGAAACACGACTTTTTGACAACAGAGTTCTAGACAATAGAGGTCACTTCTCACTTTTCTTCAGACGATTGCGAGCAGCCAATTTCTTCTTCCCTCTTGAACGATAGAGAGAGCTTGGTAGGATGGTGTTGTCATTTGTATCAATCACACGTGAGCCAATAGAGATGTAGTCATCACCAGTAACCAAGCTTGTAAAGAGACCAACACCTTCCTGTAAAGAGACCAACAACTTCAGCTCACCAATTTCTAGCAATCACACATAATCAACAAGATGTAGAACTTACCCTCGGAATATTTACTGGGCCATTGTCATAGATAGGTTCTTGCCGAGTAGTAGGGTTCGGTTGAGAGGATGAAGCACCAGCAAACTGGCTTTTGCGAGGCCTTCCCCGACCCCTTCTTGGGAGAGCATCTGAAATGCTTGGAAGATCTTCCATCGGTTGGCTTTGTGGAACAAGTCCTGTTGATTCGTCCGGTGCTTGAGAAGATGATGCGGATATAACTGGCATTTGAGAAGATGATGCGGATGCAACTGGATGAATCCTTGGCCTCCCTTTTGGTTGCTTTAGTGGCTTATCAACAGGTAGACTCTTACAATATAGCCTGTTATGTCCTTCTTATCCACAAATGCTGCAATGCTGTCAATCAAAAGTATATAAAATTATTAGTATTTACGAAAACATTAAACAGAACAGAAAATTGATAAGCCTTACAATTTTAGTTCCTCTCTTGGGAATCATTCCTGGTCTTGCTTCACCGGCTTCTCTCTTTCTTTTATTTCCTGGAGGTCTACCAGGAGGCTTCTTATATGAGGAGGATTTACACGCAAACCAGTGCTTTCCCACATGTTCATGCCTCCAACTGCCTTCAATGGATTAGCGTAGCAACTCCTTAACTTGTCTACTGTGAACCAATGAGAAAGTAGAGTTTGAGGGTCTTGATCATCTTGTCTCTCCATACGCAGGGCAGAAATCATATGGCAGCAAGAGATTCCACTAACTTTGTACATTCTACAGCCACAACTTATATCACCTCTCATTTGCACTACAAACCTGTCGTTAAAGTAGGCAACTTCATAGTCGCCTAAACCACAACTTAGAGGGATACAGTCCTTCGTTTTGTGGATCTGCTCGTCCAACAAATCCTTTGCTCTAGGAGTGTAAACTCCTTTTGCTTTCTGCGCCTCAGCCCATTTCTTCTCATTAGAAGACATCACATCTCCTAATGTCTTCAAGCATCTCAACCATGGGTTTGGTTCTTGCAATCCGAATAGCTGCATTAAATGACTCTCCTAGATTGTTTTCAACCGCATCACACTTAGCATATTCACTAAAGTATGCCCTGCCAATATAAGAAACTATATTACTTATTAAACTTGAAAAGTTGCAGAATGTTAAATGTACATATAGGATACTCACCTTGACCATGGACAGTAAATAGATATCTTCAAGTCATCATAGGCAGCCTGAGATAGGTGTTTTAATTCATCCATCTTTCTCTTAAAGGCAGCACGGTAATAAGAATATGCAGCTTCCCAAAACAAGTCTTTATAGTCGGCTCCCGAATATTTTTTTTTCCAGTTTGCGTGGACATGTCTCGCACATAACCGGTGTTCTGCAAACGGTAGCACATCTTTAACTGCCCCAATGAGCACTTTACACTGGTCGCTAGCAAGAGTTAGCCCATTCCCAGTTTCCAGGTCCAAGTCTGCAGCTAAATGTTCAAAAAACCACTCCAAATTTGGCTTATTATCAACATCTACAATGCCCCAAGCTATGGAAAACATCTGATCATTAGGGTCTCTTCCACATGCCACCAACAACTGCCCAATCATTCTCCATTTCAGAAATGTCCCATCTATATGGATTATCTTTCTGCATGAAAACAAACATAGAACCTATGAAATTTGGCTTCCCTTACCTCACATTCAACTGTTGATCCAGGGTTTGTCTTTCTCAACTCAGCCACAAAATCGTGGATTCTTGCAAAAGACTCTGCTTGCTCGTCATCAAATTCTTGCAAGCATCTTATTCGAGTCCGCTCACAGATTGTCTCAGATACATTAATGTTGCATTTCATAAGCTTCTTCTGCAGTTTCTTTGCTGAGATATGCGGATTGATTCTGAATTTTTCTATGTAGATATCAGCAATTCGAGCATTGGTAAGTATAAACACTTTTTCTTGCCAAGTGCAGTTATGCTCATTGTTGAAAGCCCTAACAACCACTCTAATACTGCTGCTGTTGATAGATGCAGAGATCCTCCATGGACACTTCTTGTCTGAGCATATTACAACTACATGTTTACTATCTGACTTGTGATAACTAAGGTCTCTCCTCTTCCTCACTGCATACTGAGTAATAGCCCTCTTAAAAGCTTCAATCGTGTTGTATGCTTGCCCCAACCTAAAACTTCTATACTTACTCTCATCTACTTGTGCTACAACAGCAGCCAAATCACTTTCACCACTACTATCATGCTGCTCTTCTTCATCTTCTTGCTCCACAGTATGATCATCATCAGCAGCCTTTGAATCTGAACTACTATTGCCTTCTTCAGGAATCTCATCTGATAACCGTACGACATTGATGCCTAAATGTCGTCCAATATATGGATCATCTTCCCTAACCACATATAATGTCATAGTTCCTGAACCCAAAGCATAGTGCATCATTTTTCTTCTTAACATCTCATCATCAACTATATCTTCTTTCTTATCAGGTGTTTCTGGTGGAAACCACGAAAATTTCCTCATATTTTCCTCATACCCATAAAGCTCTTTCACATACATAGCAACCGACGCTAAGGTAAATGTGTTCGAACTTATCTTTCCTACCATTTCAGCCTCTCCACCATAATATAATCCCTCCCATGACCAGTAACCACCAACATACAAGAATAAATCAAAGCTGCAATCACGAGAATAATAAGCGTCGGTTAAATTCGACCCTCAAAATCAATTTGTTAATTGTCTAACAGAGCATCTACATTGACGGTTTGAATTTTAAAGATCTATACCTGGACACTGTCGACATCCTTAACAAATATAGATTTGTGAAGAACACAATACTCTCGAAATCGCGATTTGGCGTTAAGAAGAAAAACTCGTCGAATAATGGAACCTCGACGAAGTGGCTCTCAAATACGTTAATCAATAAACCCTCACCAATCCAGTAGCATAATTGATCTCTCAATTATTCACGAAATCTCTCATCTTCACTCAATCGGACAAGTTCGATTTGAGAAAGTTTTCCCCAATTCGATTGCAATGGTTCTATAATAACCCTGCTGTTTTTTTCGTTCAAAACTACACGCAACTTTTAACTACATGTCATATTTCCATTTTGATACGCAGCGTTTTAAAATCCGTTTGATTTTCAAACGGCAATTGATTTTGCCACGTCATCGATATAACCGCGGGTTATATAGCGGGTTGACCAAGACGTTGCGGGTTGACTTGCATTTTCAGACAATCGAGGGTTGATTTGCAGAAAAAACCAGTTGGCGGATTAATTTGCAGAAAACCCTTCTTTATACTCATTTTTCAAATAATAGACTTTAATGTTTTTGTCGGTAATGACACATCTTTTACAACATGTAATAATTACTCATATAAATGCATATTTGTAGGTTGATTGTTTACCATTGTGTAAGGTATCACCAACAATGACACTACAAGAAAAATATATATTACATCACTAATAAAGTGTTAATAAAATACTAATAAAATGTTAATAAAATAATTGATTCTATTTAGAATCATTTATTAAACAATGATAGTAGATATAAAATTTTACATCAGTTTTTTTAATTGATATTAATTTTAAATTGGCTAGTTGTTAGAGATGAGATTCGTACCATCTCTAAAAGCCCGATATGAATTCTGGTCAGCCCATCTTACAAGGTTCAGGTCGGCCAAACAAATGGAAATCTTCCATTTATCAAGCGAACTCGGGAAAAGCGGAAGTTTAGTCTTATCGGCAAGAAGACTTTCCTATTCTGAACATACATAGAAGACCGACCTGATCGGTTATAAATACGGGAAGTCCCCGACTTCTCAGAACATCCAAAACTCCTCTCTCGAGACCTAGGGCAAACTAAGCAAATCTCATTGTTCTAGTTCTCGATCTTATTTCCATAAAAGCTTAGGTCGGCGTTCTTATTCCGACGACCTAACATCCGTGTATCTCTCAAGCTCCGGCTAAATCTTAATGAAGATCTCTCTTTAAACCCACAAACTCTTGTTCAGTATTTAGATCAGATTCGAGTTATAGCACTAGTATCAATTAAAAATAAATATAAAATGATTAGTTGTCTTACATAATAATACTATCAATTAAGATATACGATATAAATATATAACATCATTTATTATAACTGATAGTAAATATTAATATCATATATTCTAAGTGATGTAAATATTAATATCATTTATTTTAACTGAGTTAAATAATAATATCACTTATTGTAAATAATATATATTAACATCAATTAATACAAGTGATGAAAATAGTTGTATCAGTCAATAATATTGATATAAATGAATAGCATCATCACTTCCAGGGTTATTTAATTAAATGATGCAACTGAATTTATATCAATAAAAAATAATATGAACAAATAAAATAAATGATACAACATACATCATTTCTGGTAGTGTGGTCTTGAAGAGGTAAACTAATGTTTTTATGCCTGGTTTATTATGTATTTATTATGCAAAAATTTATTATATTTTTGTTGTTTAAACTGTTTGAATTCTGCATATATTTTTTATTAGTTAAATTATTTTGGAATTGATGATAAAATAAAAATATAGAAAAGTAAATTATTTTTAGAATTAGACTTCCTCCTTTTCAAAATAAGTGTCATTCTAAAGTTTTAATTTTGTTTCATAAAAAGTATCATTTTATATTTTCAATGCATAATTTTGAATAAATATCCAGGTTTAACCTTTGATTTTATTAGTTTAATTAGAAAAAGAATCATATTTTGTGTGTGAACAAAGTGTAAAACATAATTTTTAATGATTTTCTTAATTTGTGTGAAAAGTGCCAAAAAATACTATTTAAAAACATTAAACACCATTTAATAAAGAGAGAGAGAGAGAGTACAAAACTGTAGATCAATCACTAACCAAGAATGTGTACGCCTTGTAAACCTTCTCTCTCTCTATATATATATATATATATATATATATATATTTCAATTTCAAGAACATATAATAATCTGTATAAGTTTAAATTTTATATTAATTGAGCATGTCAAACTTGTTAAACTTTTAGATTATCTCTGTTTTGATTAAGTTATATTTTGATTTTTATAGATACGAAAAATTAAGATGATTGAGAAAATGAAGAAAATAAAGGAACAAAAAAAGGGGAAAACGAAAAAAAAAAAACTAAATAAAGTTTAGAAAGATGTTTCATTTGTTTGATTCGTCAATAAAAACAAATTATAAAGTAGCTCTAATACTTTAAGAAATAGTAGACATATATATATTTTTTATATGTTGGTTTTCCCATAAATTATAATTCATAATGTTACATAAATACTTTTGAAATGTTATCAGATTATATAACAAATATTAGAAAACAAGATAGAACCATATTTAAATTATAAAATTTGTGTTACTTTTACAAATATATATTTATCTTTACTTCAAACAAAATTTGATTATGAAACTGTATTTATCTATCTTTAAACAAACCAATATTATCAATTTTTAAAAAAATGAATTGAACCCCGCGCATGCCGCGGGGAAACCACCTAGTATATATATATGGGAAGAAATCAGATTTTAATTTGGAGTGGTGTTGTAACAATACTAAACTTTATGATGTTTTTGGTATTTGGTACAACTTTTCTATAGCCTTTTCTAATCAAATTGAGCTTGGACAGGTGGATCCCACCCTCAAATTCATCACAATTATTAGATACCATTTCCGTTTCAAGATACTTATATTTAAGGTTTTTGTATACATATTTTTTCGAATAAATAAAAAAAAAATTCATTATTTATCTTAACATACAAAACAAAATGTTGAATTTATCTAAAATTTGCAATGCATTTTTAAAAGAATCGCATAATGTAAGAAAAATTATTTTTCTTTAAAACATCAATTTTTTTATATGCGGAGACTGTTGTTTAAGTTTATTTATTTTATGTTAAAAAAGCGTATAGGCATATACCGCAAATAATCGAAAAGCGTATAGTTTATTCTTCTTTTTCACATGCATATACTGTATCCATAAGTTTTAAGTTTTAGACGCTTACAACCTAATCTTTTACCGCAAATAATCGGAAATTCTAACTAATCATTTATTTTTTATCCACCAAGTCTGTATTCTTTTTTGTTTTCCTGTTCGAGTGGTATGTAGATCTTTAAATTTTATTATTATTTTTTATCAATAATCCAACAATAAATATGAAAGACATAAATTAGTGTTGAAGTGATCGGAATTTGTTGAAGAGATCGGAATTACTAGAGACATGCGTGTAATGTATCATATGCCGAAACTAATTACGTCGCATTATGCGAGTGATTTGTTACGTAATCGGAATTTTAGCTTCATGAAAGTGGATAGCCGGGTGTATGATTAGGAGACAATGCCAGCCAAGCTTTGCCCTGCTAAAATTAAACATATTTACGTATATATATATGTGTGTGAAAGTTTCGTGTGAACCCATATAATTGTATATATGTATACAAATACACGCAATCATTTACGTAAATTCTATCTCTCAAGTCATATGAGATATAAGTTATAACATATTCATTCACTTCGAAACAAAAAAATTAAAGAATCGATACTGTCATGGTTTTGTTATAAAGTAAAACCAAAATACCCTAACTTGAATTATAAAAACAAAATAAAAAAGAAGAGAAAAAGGAAAATAGTAGTTGAGACACCGAAAGAAGAATGCATAGCCTAAACGGAACGAAGAGAAGCTCTCAACAAAGGTAGTTAGGGTTTTGCACGTTATCTTAGCTCATGCAATCTGCCCCATTTCATCATTTAAAGTTTAATTCTTTTCACAATATAGTATTTATTAATGCACATCCCACATATATAAATATATATACAATTATATACATGATCGTCATGCATGTCTTGCACTTTACCTACCAAAGCACAATCAATCTCTCTCCTAAGTGAGAAAAAAGAAACAGCTATTTTCATACGCATATATGTATAAATAAAGTTTTTGGTGACGTTGTTTTACACGGAAAGCACAACCTTGTATGGATGTAATTAGCTTCTATTGTCTCTTCTTCGTCTTCTTCTTCTTCTTTCTTGCAATCTCTTGTCTTCTTTTCCTAGCTGTTCTTGCTTTATCTTGTCAAGTTTCAACAGTCACAAGATTCTTGAGGAACCTTCTTTCTTCCGAGAATCTTGTGTAAGTTTCTTGTTGGGTTATTTTTTCATGAAATTTTAGTTATCATCTTTAGTTCGAACTCATGCGAAAATTACATTTTCTCTCTCTCTCTCTCTCTCTAATTCTTTATGCCTTCTCAAGATTAGTGAAAATGACAGATTTTTTTTGTTTTTTTTTTTGTTTCTTATCTTGTGTAGTAATCATTTTGAGAGAATGGAGAGTAGTACGCAAAACTTGTTGGAGAAATTAAGGCCTCTTGTGGGTGCAAGAGCTTGGGACTATTGTGTTCTCTGGAGACTAAACGAAGACCAAAGGTTGATTCTGATTCTTCTGAGCAATAAAGTCTTAAATTGCTTTTTTCTCTCTTTCTATCTTTCTCTTTCGTCACATTCTTTTCTTTTTTTTGGTTTTGGGAGGAGACAGGTTTGTGAAGTGGATGGGATGTTGTTGTGGTGGGACACAGCTCATAGAGGACAATGGAACAGAAGATTTTAGCTTCGGAGGTTGTAGAGATGTTATGTTTCATCATCCTCGCACCAAATCTTGTGAATTTCTTGCTCATCTTCCTTCTTCCATCCCTCTTGATTCCGGGTACATAATCATATTTACACGCATATTTATACTGTTTCATAAGATATATCTAGAGATCATGAAACAAAAAAATGGACTTTGTCACATTGTTGTAGGATATATGCGGAGACTCTTCTGACCAACCAAACCAGTTGGTTGAGTGAGAGCTCAGAACCAGGTTTTATGCAGGTTTGAATCATCACAATCAGATTATTGAATCTACAAGAACAAGAACTCTTAACAAGTTTCAGTACTGTTCTTGTTCAGGAAACAATCTGTACTAGGGTTTTGATTCCTATACCGGGAGGACTAGTGGAGCTTTTTGCGACCAGACATGTACGTTTAATTAATGTCTTTTAATTACATGTTGATGGTTCTTAATTAGCGGTTTAAAATTGTGATGATGTGTGTACGTATGTATATAGGTCGCTGAAGATCAGAACGTGGTGGATTTTGTAATGGGACATTGCAACATGTTGATGGACGATACCGTAACGATCAACATGATGGTAGCGGACGAGGTCGAGTCAAAACCGTACGGGATGTTAACTGGTGAAATCCATCAAAAGGGATCAAAGGATGAAGAAATGATGAATCTTCCATCGTCGTACGATATCAGTTTCCTGCCTCAGATTAGTGATTACGATGCACAACAACAACACTTGAAGATGAAGAGTGATTATCATCATCATCAAGGCTTAAGAGGATATCTCCCGGAGAACAGTAGCAGCAAGGAAATGATGGGTATGAACCCGTTTAACACGGTGGCTGAAGATGGGATTCCGGTGATCGGAGAGCCTAGCTTGCTTGTGAATGAACAGCAAGCCGGTAAAGATAAGGAAACGAATGAGAACGGAAGGTTGGATGATGGTTCGGATTGTAGCGATCAGATTGATGATGAAGATGACCCGAAGTACAAGAAGAAGTCAGGAAAAATATGTCAAGCTAAGAACCTGATGGCTGAGAGACGGAGGAGGAAGAAGCTAAACGATAGGCTTTATGCTCTCCGGTCACTTGTTCCCACAATAACCAAGGTATAATATGTTTGTTTATTGGGTTTTCTGCTTCGTTGTTATGTGTTTTCTGAAACTGGTTTTTGTGTGGCGTGGAAGTTGGATAGGGCATCGATTCTTGGTGACGCGATCAACTACGTTAAGGAGTTGCAGAATGAGGCAAAGGAGCTTCAAGACGAGCTTGAAGAGAACTCAGAGACTGAGGATGGATCTAATAGGCAGCAAGGAGGGATGAGCCTGAACGGGACAGTTGTCACTGGGTTTCACCCGGGGCTTTCGTGTAACTCGAATGTTCCTAACCTGAAACAAGATGTTGATCTTGAGAATTCTAATGATAAAGGACAAGAAATGGAGGTTAGAGCTTAATAAGGAAGAACATAACATAGCTCTCACCTTCTCTATTTTGAACTCTTAACACAGATTATCATGATATCGGTTTACGTTGGGTTGAGTGGTTGCAGCCGCAGGTGGACGTGGCTCAGTTAGATGGGAGAGAGTTTTTCGTAAAGGTGATTTGTGAATACAAACCAGGAGGCTTCACAAGGCTAATGGAGGCACTTGATTCTCTGGGACTTGAGGTCACAAATGCTAACACGACTCGATTCCTCAGCCTTGTCTCCAATGTCTTTAAAGTCGAGGTATGGATCTGATGGACCTGCGAAATGAAGAAACAAGAAACCAAAACAAGAGATATGCAAAACTTATATGGTTCTTTGTTTTTTGTTCTCCATGTTACAGAAAAATGATACCGAGATGGTGCAAGCTGAACAAGTGAGGAACTCGTTGCTGGAAATAACACGGAACACATCTAGAGGATGGCATGATGATCAGATGGGAACCGGTTCAATGCAAAACGAAAAGAACCAAGTTGAATATCAACACTATGATGATCACCACCATCACGGAGGTCATCATCACCTACATGATCATCAGATGAACCAGAGCGCTCACCATCATCACCACCACCAACAACACATCAACCATTACCAAAACCAATAAGGAAACATGTTCCCAGAGCTACCGTTTGTTTTCATATCAAGATGTATGTGTTCTTTACAAGAGAAAGAAACATTTCAAGAGACAATAAAAAAAGGAATGTCAGTTCGAGACCTGAGACCCCTAAAACTGTTTAAGCACGCGGCTCCAAAACATGAGCAATAAAAAAAAAGTTCATTTGCCAATATTGCTGGAGCGGATGGGGTTACAAACTCAAAAAATAAAAGACGAAGAAAAACAACTCTGATACACACATTTCAGAAATATCTGAGTTTGATGAAACTTGTAATAGTAAAGAAGCCACAAACCTTCTCTTGGTTCATTGGCAATGTAATGTTATTGCTGCTGCAGATGCTTGAATTCGTTGCAGTCAGCTCCTACCTCACTCAGCGCTGAGAAGAGCTTTGGCGCGATCTTAGCCAACATTAGCTTAAAACCAACTGAAGTTGAATTAGCACTGCTGCGTTCATCGATAACCGAGGCATCTTTGGTGAGGGAACCTATTAGATATCCTTTCATGTAGGCGTCACATGCCTTCAAGATGTAATAACCGCGTTTTCTGAAATGCTCTTTGATGAGCTCCTCAAAATCCTACAGATATCATCACAAAGTTAGGGAAAATGTGAAAAATTTCAAAAAAGGGAGAGAAAGAGAAATAGAGCTCGTCCTTTACCTTTGGTGGTTTCCGCATGAGATACATCATGGTTTTACAATTTAGCAAAAAGGTGTTCTCGTTGTATCCCAGTGAGTTTTTCTCTCCTTCCGCAGTTCCGATCTGCTTATCATACCCGGCTTCATTGAAATAAGGCTTTGAGTTTAAAACCAGTCCCTGGAGTGAGACAAGGACTTGAAGGATGCTAGATGATTTGGGATCCCAGACTTCGTTTCCTCTGCCTGTCCAGGTATTAAGAAGGCTAAGACAGACCTTGCCTTCTTCATACAGATTTGGGTTTAACCTCCAACCACCAGAATGGTAATATGCAGACTGCAGAATAAAGAGCCTCATATTATGCATAAATGGATTCATTTAGGTTATAAGGAATAGAAATAATAAAAACTCATACCGGTGGTACATTAGGGTAGTCAGGTGCAAGGTGAAAATCAAAAAAGAAGAGACCATCTTGGTATGGTGTTCCATATGCTCCAGCTATTACTGCCCTCAAGAGATCCATTCTATCTTCGTAAACTCGAACAAAGATTCCATCTGCCAAAGGTAAAATCAACTTTTTTTCAATACGAAGTTTTACCAATCATGAAATAGTGCTGAAAGTTCTAAAGTTTACATTCTTACCCGGAAGATTGTTCTGAAGTATTTTCCAGTCTTGATCAACCTTCTTGAACCATTGTCTATCCTTGGTTACCTGCAAGTTTGATAGACTCAAAATCAAGTCACTTTTAAATGCATATTTTACGGGACAGGGCAATTAAAATATTGTACTATTATGAAACATAAACATGAGAGTCATATTCGAAAGTGCAAGTGCTTGACCTACCTGCCCATCCACGTCAAGAAAATGGTGGTCCAGAGGATCTTGTGATATATCAAAGCGTCTGAAACTGCAACCATCACCTTTAGAAGGTACCGGCTCATCAGTTTTTTCACTCTTTGATCTTCCCAACGCTTCGTTTTCCAAAACTGTAGAGGTTTCTCCACTCATGTGATTCTCGGCATTTGCTTTAGTGCCCTCTGACTCACAGTAATCGTTAGGGTTTGTCAACTCAGTTTTCCGCCCGCGAGAAAAAATTCCACTAGCCAGTCGAGTCACAAATTCAATTGCAGCTAGTGGGAGAGCTAATGCACCGTTCCTCCCAGAATCATTCTCACCATTGATCTCTGCATCAGAGTTTCCCTCAATCAAAATCTCCCTTCCAAGATCCTGCTAAATCAAAGATCCTCATTAATCTGCAGAAACGAATGATTGGGCTGCAAGGAAAGTAACCAACCCAGTGCCACCGTTTTGAATATACATTTTGTTCAAGCAAAAAAAAAAATCAGTAACATTTCTTAATAAAACAAACCTCTTCAGGAACTTCGGGAGCATCCCTCTCATTATCCTCTACCGTTTCCCAACTAGCAGCATCACTTGCTTCACTTTCTCCAGCAATTGATTCATCATCATCGTCCCGTCCTACTACATAAACTGCGTGAGGGCCAACCTAGGAGAAACCAAAAAAAAATAACAACGTGAGGAGAAAACCAGTCAAGCAAGGGAGTGTATCAGAATATAGTGAGGTTGACATACCGTTGATACCATTCCATCGGCCCATGCAACTTCAATATCACCATCCTTTAGGCCAATAATATTTCCAACCCATGAGAGCTCTGAAAGGTTCGTGTCAACTTCGTTTTCTTGATGATAGTCTGTATCTTGGCTACCATTGTCTGGATCCATTGCCTCCTCTAGAGAGTTTTCGGCAGAAGACGGTGGTACCGCCATGGTAACAGGTGATAGTCGAACAACGACATCCCCATAACAGTAGTCATAATCTGGATGGCCCTCGAGCTCATAAACACTAACGATCTCTTCATTGTCAAACTCACGGGGGTCCTCTGCCCTTCGAACTGGCTTCAACCATTTCACAGAAGCGGTACGTTCTTTTGCATTGACACTTTTAACAACCCCAACACGCTTAGGCTCAGTGGTGTTATTATCACCATCATCTGAAGCCTTCTCCACCACATACTGCTCAGCGACAAACTCATGATCACCAGGAGTCTCAATCGGAATCAATGTTGTTGCTTCCCGTCCACATTCTACTGTACCATCCTGCCAGGCTACATCAACACGCGTTCTGCTATTAACTACCATTAGAGCTCGTTCAAAGATTTCCGCTTTCTTCTTAACCTTTTTGTCCTTTCTGATAACGAGTTTGCGTATCTTCTTACGATGGAGAGGCCAAGGTTCATGAGCAGGCTCCTTTGAATCAGAAGAAACACTAGTTTCTTTTGGCAAAGCTTCAGCAGTGATACCAACAGATTCATTCTTTTCGCTTACTTCATCTTGCACATCTTCCAAATCGCACCCACTAATCTGCTTCCGATTTGCTTGAGAATCATAAAGCCGTAATTTAGATAGACGCTTATGCAAGATAATTGTAGTAGACTGACTCACCGATGGAAGAAGGCCCCAGTCACCCACTTGCCAATTCGCATGTGTGAAAGACGACAACAATGTCAAATTCTTTGGTTTCTGCTCCTCAGGTGGGGAGACAGAAGACTCTGGCCCAAATCCAGCAGAGGCAATCCAGTAGACAAAAACAGATCCAGCGGTAACTTTGGTCACCGTACCTTCTAAGCGATTGGGCTTCCACAGTCCAGACAACCACCGTGAACTCTTGAAAATCGACGAAGAGCTTGCTCTCACACGCTGGCCTGGGTGATACGGAAAGTTTGCATCTTCTTCAAGGTTATTCTTGGGGATAGGTTTTAGCTGAAGGGGTTCGACACGTACGACTTTACACATGGAGCCATCATCGAACAACACAGTCACATTGTCCAATACATCATCAACTCTACCTAGCCAGGGGCCATGAACCACGAAATCACCGACCGCAAAATTCCTGACGCGTTTCAACTCTTTGGTCGAGATGTCCTTGTGGATAGAACCATCAGGAGCCGATAGATCAACCGATATGTTTACATCCACTACTACTCCCACCTGACCTGTTGGATCAGAAGCCGAAGCAACGTAGTCTCCGTGTAAGAAGCCACGGTCCACAACGGTTACGTCCTTAGTATCTTGAACTGGCTCGGTGTTATCCATCCAAAGCACACGAATCTGACTACCCTCAAGGGGACCACATTTGTAGTTCCCGTCGGCTTTTTTCTCGTCAGCATTGTCATCTCCAACATTTTCTTCATTGGCATTTTTGCCTTCCTCTTCGTCCTCAGCAGCATCATCATTATCGTCCTCATCATCATCATCACCATCATCATCTTCGTCATCTTCCTCATCACTAATGTCACTTTCAGAGTCAGAATCACCAGCTACTTCACTCACAACCCCAATACTACCGGTTCTGTTGTTTCTTACAATATCTTGCCGATAAATGTTCGGATGCTCGTTACTTACTGAATCATCAGTCCTATCTATGTGACTGCTGTTGTTGTTATCCACCACAGTTGGATCACATATAGACTCATTCGCCATTACACGTGTAGCTGTTCCAGGGTCATCTTGCTCGTGTTCCATCTAAAAAGCCAAGCAAAAATTATGACGAGAATCTTCAATAATGAGCTTTTGCAACACCTAATAGCTACAGAACAAGGATCGGCAAAAGAGTAGGATCTAAACTATGATAATACGATGCAACAATCCATAGTAGCAGCTAAATAATTGCGCTAAAAGTCAAAATGATTAGCTTCCGCTTCCGAATTGATTTAAAGCTTTACATAGATAAAGAATCTCAAAGCGAAGCACAGCTACAGATAATTATGATTGTTCGCAAGGCATGAAACTACATATGCATCTCAAACACAGTAAATAAACGGAGCCTAGGATCATCACAGGCAAACAAACATGAAACAACAATTTTGATTTCCGAGAAAATAATCACATTGAGGTTGCTGATAAAAAAATCAACAGATTCAAACAGAAATCAACGTTTCGTTTATCGAAGAATCAATAAAAAGCAAGTACCGGTTGGAATCTTCTGGAAGTGATCGGACGAAATCAGAAGAAGAAGAGATTTTCAAATCGATTTTCGTTTGATCGTATATGCAACAATATCTTTTTTTTTTCGGGGGAAAAGGGAAGACGAAGGAACATAAGAAGAATTGAAAAGCGAAAGGAGAAAGAAATAGAGGAGAAGAAAGATTGAAGAAGGCAAAGGGAGGAGGAGCTGGGATTCTCTTCCAGCAGCGGCGTCAAGGGTATATTAGTCATTATGTATCTTCATGTCTAATTGTAATTTTTTTTTGTTTCGTGACATTCCACCAGCACTACCGATGATCCAATCCCAGCCGTTGGATCTGCTTACCAAGTCCCCTTCGGTCCAATACAAACCGAACCGACATTATCAATCCCGAAATTGAATCATATATCCCAAAAACCAAATTAGAATTGTGTGCCCAACCGGACCGACATGATCAATCTAAAACCTACAGTGCATTTCTTTTGAAAATAATTTTTTTCTTTTTATTAAAACTAATATCCGAATCGATAATCATAATAGAAATAATTTTTTCTTTTGACTAAAGCTAATATCCGAATCGATAATTATAACAAAAATATGACAATATATATTCGAAATGACAATATATAGTCTATAACTTGAAGAGTGATTATGGACAAGGTAAACAAATGATGGTTGTTAAATATTTTGTTCAGGTCTAAATAATTAAAAAAGCTGAATAATAATAGACAGGCTCCACAACGAAATATGATAAGAAAAAATATATAAAGTCAACTTTCTTTCCGATTTTGAGCCCTAAAATAAGGTCAACACATTCTTATGAAATCGAAAATATGTCCGCATGATACAAATTCTGAATTTGAACATAATGACGAAAGAGTAATAACACAAAATATCTGAGACTTCAAAATACAAGAAGTGAGTAAAAGTATAAACATAAATCTGACGTACGACATTCGTCAAAACATTCGATTTTGTCATAATAACCTTTTACCAAACTTCACCATCGCAAATTTCATCTTTCACTGACGCTTTAAGAACAACATTAAAAAAAAAAAAAATCCTTCTTAGCTCCATGTGGAAGCTCTCTACTTACTGTCGGGGAACTTGGCCTCGTAAGTCTCTGTGGTCTGAGAAAACAAAAAGGAGGAAGAAGATTCGTTAGTAGAGAAACGAAGACAAAACAGTTTGAAAGTGAGACAAGTCAATGTTACCATGTAAGTCGCTGTAATCATCTTTCCGGCAAACCATCTTCCATGGAGAGCACGTTGCGCTCCCATGGCTGCTTGCGCATTTTCGAATCGCAAGTACACAAAACCAACGCTGTTCCTGTTTTTATCAACACATAAATCAACGTCAGATAATCATTCCAACACTTTATCGATTACAAGAACCCTTAAAGGTCTCCACTCACTTGTCGACAAAGATATGATTCAGTTTTCCGAACTTGGAGCATTCTTCTTGAACATCTTCTTTAATGTCCTTGTCAAAATCAGGTTCAGTCTGCGAAACAGATACATATGTATTCAGAACAATCAAGCTTGAGGTAGAAACTGTTGAGAGACAAGAAAATGTTTAGCATATTATCACTAACCTCTGTGGATGGATCAAACATGTTTTTAAGCAGGAGACATTCACTGGGAACACCAACTGTGTCAAGCGCTGCTGGAATATTTACACCGGGAAGAATGCCGGCACCGGCGAGTCCAGCAACAGCAGGAAAACCAGCCACCAACGGAGAGATTGTCGAGGCTGCACCGTTCATAGACCCGAATGCAGTAAGCCCCGTGCTGCAGAGAAGGTATGGAGTTTTTAGTAGAATAGAAATTATGATAAGAGCAAACTACATAAACCGAAATAAGTGGCCGGAGGAGACAGAAAAAAACCTTGATGCAGTTCCACTGCGATCGAGCTTCTGCATGAGAAGTGCCCGCGACTGTGCATTCAGAGGCTGCAGTATAAGCAAACCAGGTTAGGCTACAAGAAACAATGCGTTTCATGATATAGACAACCACCATGGATCTTACACATAGTAGTGCTATTTAATGAAAACCAGGTTTCGTAATAAATTTGATCAAGTTGATTAAAATTTTGTGTTCATATTTATCTAAAATCTAAATAACAAGTCCTACGTGATGCAGTGTGTCTATATTTATTATGTGAGATAGATTACTAGATCGGTGAGATATGTTCTCTTTTGGAGGCTGGGCTAGCAAGATTAAGAAAACTACTTACCATGACCGCTCCATCATCATCATCCAGATCACCGGTGGTCTGCATTTGTCCCGCTTCTGGGACTTCAGTTTGATCTGTTACAGCTGACACCTGATGAAAAGTAAAACTACATCATCAACAAACATAACATAACATGTGCTGTAACATGCGTGTTTAGTTTAGAAGCCTTTGAGACGGACTAAAAATGGTTTGACTACTCTAAATATCCGCCAAAAAAATCTACATGCAGGTGCCATGGCTCATTTTCCTTAGTAGACATAAATATGTGACATCACTAAGAAGAGAGAACATGAATTACTGTTTGGTAGTTATATCATGATCTAACCACAAAGAAAGGATCGTTGTTTCTTCCGGATTTTTATATAAGATGAAAATTTCAAGATAAGTTAAACCAATACCTTGATTGCACGACCTGCAATCTCCAACTGCCCATTCAGATTCAGTGCATTCCTAGCATCCTCCAGGCGAGCAAACTGTAAGGTTTAAAGAAAAATAAGATTCCTGTTATTCACAAAGGCACATCAGCAAGAAGCCAAGACTGACATTGGCTCAACTTACCTGAACAAAACCAAATCCTTTGCAGAGGCCAGTTTCGTCACGAGGTACTTGCACCAGCTCCACACTCCCAAATGATTCAAAGACCTAGCAAATGACAAAAGAAAAGTAATATTATGTCACCTGAACATGGACTTTATGATCAGAAGATGAAGCAATTACAAAAATCTTGACAGTGTAAAAGGCGTGTGATTTGTACAGTACAGGAATATCTCTGACCTAATGGTACTCTGAAAATGTATCCATATAATAACAAATTCATCTATGTAACTATATTTAACATAAGAGCAGTTCTATACTTAATTCCGACAAACAATTTAAAATGGTGTGTTACAGGTCACACTGTAACTGCTCAGTGCTCATAGATATAAAATAGTTTACCTTTCGCAGATCATCTTCTGACATGTTGACGTGCAGGTTACCAACGTAAAGACGTCTAGCTCCTCCAGAATAGGGGCCCAGATTCCCTCCTGCTCCAGCGGCAGCAGTCGTTGACTGAACAAGATTCTTCTCGGCTTCAGATGGTTTTACCATAACAGGCTGACCAAGAAGAGGCTGTCCAGATAGAGCAATAGCCATAGGGACTGACATTGTATCATAAAACTCCACATACCTGCAAGCAGGACCAACTTAGAAACCAGCAAACAGTACTGAAACAAGATAAATCATAACAATTGCACTATCTATATGCCCAGAAGCTACTCGAAGCTTATCAATGTACCAACAATTAAGGATTCCTTAACATGAAAAGGAAATTGTTCTCGCACAAAATTTTCAAAGAATCAAACTGTTTTAAACTCACCCGATTCCTCTTGAACGCCTGGAAATTCGATCCATAATTATCCGCACATCTCGTACCTAAAATCGTATTAGAAGGCAATGTGTTAACAAAAAAATTAACTGAACCAGCCAGAACAACATTTAGATGGCAAAATGAAACCGGAAGAGGAGAGGACATACCTTTCCAGCTTTGGAGAAGAACTCATACACATCCCTTTCAGTTGCCCTCAAAGCAATCTGTTCCACAGATATCCACAAACCATCACTTATTGATTAAGTTATAATGTTTCAAAGGGACCATAGCAATTACAAAAGGAATACCTGATAGGCAAAAACTGTTCTCTGGTCTCTTTCGGGATCAGCCTCAGGCTCCACCTTATCCTCTTTTTTGTCTTTATGGCGTCTGCATAATAACAAACATGTGAGCTCGTTAAATTTGATACTAAATACGTTTTCAACCATACTTTCCACGATTTCGCAACATCTTTAGAATATGCGAGAGACAACATATCAGAAGGCATCTTTTGGTATGAAGCAATATTTAAATATTAGGAAAACAGAAAAACTTTTCTCCGACAGGCGTACACACGTGAAGCACGAGATGGCCCTGCAGGGAACTATGCGAAGTCAACACGTGATGAACAATAACATAAATTTAAACTCAGAACTTCTTTCATTTTAAATTTAGCACGGGACCAACCTGAAGTCTAACCAAAATCTTTTTACCTTCTATTACAATGATAATCTTAAACGGAACGTGCCCCATCAAGTTGTACAGAAGGCAATACCAATGGACCTAATAGCATTATGAACCTGTTAAAACTTATAGCTTAGCTTACATCAAAGCTATTGTACCATAACCCGAAAAGCATAAGAGATTTCCAAATTCAGTTGTCATTTCAAGAAAACAGGAAGCACTGGGAGCCCGCATCCTCACACAACATCACCAGTAAAATTCTAAACCTACCATGAAGAACATGTCTTGAAATAGATAGAGCGGCAATGCAAAGCAGTTACTAATCACTGTACTTAAATTTCAAGAATCACATCCTAAAGTGTGAACTAGCCTGCAATTCGTAGAATATAGGAGACAATCACCAAGTTGGATGAGTCCTTTCATCCTCAGGAACAGGAAGTATGACGCAATATAAGACAAATACGTATATTGATTGAAATGCAATAAGCGTTTATGAGACAACAAATTAGCAAAAGACGAAAAGAGAAGAGGCACCTGCGATCTCTATCACGGTCTTTGGTGTCTCTTTCCTTAATTTCTATTTCCTGGCTCTTTTCTCTTTCCTGACTCCTACGTCTCTCTGATCGACTCCTGCTCCGACGTGATCGGTCTCTCTCCCGATCTTTTTCATGGTCACGCCCTTTACTGTCTCGATCCTTGTCCTTGTCCCTCTCTCTATCTTTACCATTTCTTTCTTCTTTATCTCTATCTCCTCTCTCCTTGTCTCTGTGCTCCCGGCTACTTCTATGCCTATCCCTCTCTCTGTCTCTAGATCGCGAACGGTGGTGAGATCTCGACCGCTTAGAACGCCGACCGTCCTCGTCTTCCTCTCTCTTCTCATCACTCCTATGCCTTGAGCTTCTACTCCGCTCTTTTACTTCCGATTTGGCTTTCTCATCACCACCATTATCAACATCGTTCTCCAGGTGTGGATTCTCAACTGTCTTCTCTAGGTACTCATACTCATCAAAGTCCATACTACAGAGATATCCTAGTCAAATAGCTTCAAAACCAGATCACTCTGTCTCAATGCTTAGAATCTACAAAACATAATCAAAAGGTAAAATTAGCATAAGAAACAAGCACGACTTCAACATCACTCCTCACGGAGAAATGGACTCATTACCGCGAGTATCTAAATCGATTCCAAACCCTAATTACTCGGAAACAGATCCATATCTACTAAATAGGTTTCTCCTTGTAAGCAAATTCATATCGATACTGCTACGAGCAGAAGCAAAAATCAGCAAACGACGATTCCCAGATTGAAATTGAAAACGAATTCAAGTAACTCGGTGCTTACTCTGTGATAACAAAAATCTCGAAGAAGCAGAGAGAAAACGACGAGCACCAAGAGAAACTCGAAGCAGCTCTCAATCTGGAATCTCCCGCTCGCTCGCAATCTAGGGCAAAGAAGAATGGCTCTAAAGACGAAGAAGCTTGTGAGGTGGTCGCTAACTCTCTATAGGTTACCCACTTGCCAGATTCAGCCTAAACCCCTCCTTCGGATCTAAGGCCCAATCCATTTTATTTTATTTTATTTTCTTTGTTTTTCTTCTTTTTTCAACTTACTTTTTTTTACTGGAAGTTTCATATTGTTTTTCTATAATATCTTCTCGTTCATAGATTATTGAATATGGCGACCAAACAAAATTGAATGAGTTGTTACAAAGTGTATGGATTGGACTATAGTTTATACATAAAATAATGAGCCCAAAAGAAAGCATCACAAGTTCACAACAAACAATTGCGAGTCTAATGGTTTCTTTAAAAATCGGTTTGTTTCTACTTGGTTTTTGGGGTGCTGAAAATCCCATAACTTGAAGAAGAAGGCTGTTGATTCGGAGCTTCGTTTGGTAACCGGGTTTGTGGACGTGGAGGAGCTCGGGGTGGGTTTGGTGGCGGAGGTTCAAACCGACCGGTAGGTTGTTGGTTTTGGAATCGAGGTGGAGGAGGACCTTGCCGGTCTGGATATGGCCCAGAGGGTTGTTGATTCGGAGCTTGGTCTGGGAACCGAGGCCTTGGTGAAGTTGAAGCCTGGTTTGGTGACTGTGGATCAAACCGTCCAATAGGTTGTTGGTTTGGGAACCGAGGATCAAACCGCCCAGTAGGTTGTTGGTTTGGAGGTGGTGACTGAGGATCAAACCGCCCACTAGGTTGTTGGTTTGGGAACCGAGGATTAAACCGCCCAGCAGGTTGTTGGTTTGGAGGTGGTGACTGAGGATCAAACCGCCCAATAGGTTGTTGGTTTGGAAACCGAGGATCAAACCGGCCAGGAGGTTGTTGGTTTGGGAACCGAGGCCTTGGTTCACTTGGAGGCTGGTTTGGAGACTGAGGATCGAACCGCCCATTGGGTTGTTGCTTTGGAGGTTGGCTTGGAAACCGAGGCTGGTTTGGAGACTGAGGTTCGAACCGGTTTGCATCTCTACCTCCCGAGAAGTCTCTGCTCGGCTCCTTTCTCGCATACTTAGCACCGTGCTCAGGTTCTTGCGTCTCTGTCTCTCCCTCATCATCAACACTAGACCCTTCAGCTTCCGAGTTGTCAGGCTTTGGTGACTCGTTTTTGATTCGTGCTGAGGTTTTCAAGTTCATGTCCTTGAGTTTTATCGCCTTTCCTTTCTTTGGTGGGCCGAACTTGGCGTGTCTAACTACCACAACGGCGTTGCCTTTATCAGCCTCTGGCCCAAACTCCACAAGTGCATCTTCTATCTGTACGAAGCCGAGGATTACAAAACCAAAACAAAAAGACAAGAAAACGAGTCATGGGGATATACAGCAGTAGAGACTTACTAAGCAAGTGAAGCGAGATAGTAACTCAAGCAGCTTCTCTGGTTCAAGCTCCTTCTTCTTGTCCTTGTCTGGAACTGCATGGCACTGTTACACCAAATAGAGAAAGAACAAGTCGAAAGTTGTTCATCAGAGAGTTATTTTAAGTTCACCATGTTAAGTTCCCCACAAAAGTCTATGAGAAAACAGTAATCATAAAATTGTAGTCACCAAGAAAATGACTACCTTGACACGATATCCATTTTCCATCAGTTTCAATGCTTGTGCTGCTTTAAACTTTAGGTCCTTTGCCTCCTGAATAGTAAAGAAAACGGAACACAATTGTCCTTCTAGTTTTATCATTACCACACAGATAAGGAAGAAGAAGAAACAGAGAGGGCATTTCACGAGAAAACATACAATTTTAGGAGTAAATCGAATTTCCTTGACTTCAGGTCGTATGGTTATTTCAGCCCGCTAGAACAAAGGCAAAAACCCATAAAAATTCAGAACACAAATACATCTAATATGTCGTATAAAAAAGGATACATAATATGAGGTATGAATAGGCCAAATCACGGACCTTGGCCTTAGCACGCTCCTTTCCTGCTTGAGCTTTTTTGTACTTCTCGTGCGAGTAGTCTACAATCTTACAAACTGGTGGCGTAGCATCTCTCTGGACCTACAAGACAAGAAGAAGAAAGGAAACAAAAAAAACACATTTAGAAATGTATATAAAGAGATAAACCTCAAGAGAGAGAGAGAGATAACATGCAAATCATAGGTACAAAGCGAGACAGATCCATCATAAACAGACCCTAGAGTAACTAATATTTCAATTTAACAAGTTACCTCAACTAAGTCCTGATCGATCTCCTTAGCACGCCTGAGGGCTTCCTTCAACGACACAACGCAATGTCCTGCATAACGAGACAAAACCATTATCACATGTTCCTCATTAACATAATCTCCGAAATTTCATTTTCTTTTTTCATCTTTTCCTCATGGATTATAACTTACTAACAAAAGCGAGTATTCTTGTATCTAGTCTTTATCCGGTACATAAAAGAAAATGGAAACGAAAATAATTACCGTCCTCGGAAACCAATCTGACAGTATCGGCAATAATCTTGTCATTGAGACGTGGACCATCAGAATCAACTTCGTCTGCCTTTTTCCTTGTCTGGAACAAGATCACATAATTAGGAAGCTATGAACAAGATCAATACGACATCTCTGCAACATAACGGCTCCCTCGCCTACGAGAGCCAAAAAGATGCTCACTAACTTCCATTTGCCTAAAAACATCACGGAACTAAACAATTCTCTAAAAACATACAACCCAAAAACACCACAAAGCAGAGAAATCCAACACATGAACTAATAAAGCTCAGCTTTAATGTCTCTAGTAGACAAAACCCAACAGACAATAACATAGATAAAAAAATCACATCTTGCAGGGATTCAGATCTTCCATACAGTTCTTATCATCAAATGCAACTACAATAGCAAATTGGGAGAACACACCGCTGAAGAAAAGAGTGTACCTGAGCTGAAGTGGCGAGGAACCTGATGTTTTCGAAGAAGTGTGAAGATCTTCTACAGATATCTGAATTTGGGATGTCAAAAGAAGACAGCTTTGTCTGCTTCACACCATGATGAGTAAGCGTGGAAGCAAGACAAACTTGGCTGTAATGTCTTGTTAATTGGTTTGATGCGTACTTGAGGTACGAACGACTGATTATACGCCAAACAGCCATAGAACAAGGACACGAGATTCTCCAATTGCGATTCCAGGATAACTAAGTTTGGAATGAAGCGCGCGATTTCGTAGAATCACTCAAAATGAAAGAGAAGTATTTTCGATATTGAAGATGAAACGAAAAAGAGGAAAGGGTGAGTGTGGAATTTAGAGGATGAACAGAGGTTTAACGGAGTTTCAATGGCGGATGCATCTCGTGAAGAAGGCGGCGAAGAGGGAAGGGTTCAACGTCGGATCGTTGCGAGTTGTGTTCTGTTCTGTCTGCTTAGATTTTTCCTTTTGCCGAAAACGAAAGCTATTGGGCTTCTGGGCTTTCAATGAGATCAAGAGAATTCAGAAAGCACAATCGCAATCTCTTTTGGTTGTTCTCGGTCACATATTTTATTTCCAAACCGAAGTTTAGAGATTTAAATCGATTTTCGAATTCGGTTCGGTTCGACAATTCAATTTGGTGTTTCTATCCATACTTTGGCAAGGCATAATAGTCCAACTAATGATACCTTTGATTCGGGTACGATGTTCCCTCAAATTAGATTGACAATATCTTGTATATAGATTATATCGATTCGATATAAATAAATATGATTTTAACAAAAAGAAAATTGAGTAAATTCCAGTTAAATTAGCATTATCTAGGAAATTTCATAAAAAAATTAAAATATAACACTATTATTTGTTAAATCTATCAATTCCAACAACATTTTTTAAATTTATTGAATTTGTTTTATTAAATCATAATTATTTTTATAATTAAAATATTTCTTTGACTTAATTTTATTTTATAATTTTTCGTATTTAATATTAAATGATGACCACCGCCGATTTACATTCTCTAGATCTAACATTAGCCATCAATTTAGTAAGTTTGATTATTACACACGTTTAACACATTTTCTTTTTGATTATAAAATTTTTGGGTTTTTATGATACTAAGAACAAATCTGAGGAGCAGCCACCAAGGTGCCTAAAAATTGATCAGACGAAACAGCAAAATTATAGAAAAAAATGAATCTAATAAAATAGTCAATAATTGTTTATTAGTGTCTGCTAAACTATTTTAATCGAGCCAGATTTTAATCGAACCATCAGAAACCCTTACTATTTCTAGTCAAGTCATCAGAAACTCTAAACTATTTTTAATCAATTCATTTATCAAAAACCCAAAACTATTTCTAATCAAGTTAACAGAAACGCTATACAATTTCTAATCGAGCCATCGTAATTCTATAGATCAATATTCTCAGCTTAGAAAAATTCATACATTGTCTATGAAAATTCATTTCAAAAATTAAAATATAACATTATACGGATCGAAATTGTTTTATTAAATCATCATTATTTTTTTACTAATAATCAAAATGTTCATTTCACTTGATTTTTTTTTCTAGTTTTTCGTCACCTATTTAGCTTCATATACCAAACGGTGACCATCGATTCACATACTCTAGATCCGACCTTAGCCATCAATTTATTGAGTTTGATTATAGTATACACATTTAACACATTTTCTTTCTACCTATTAAAAGTGAAATCGAAATAGACAAAACTCATAAAAGAGTCCTCTCCAAAAGCCCATACAGAAAATTTTGACAGAATTTAAAAAAAACCCATCGAAACCCAACTTAGCGTCCGTCATTCTCTTCCTCTTCTTCCCTGTCTTTTCCAAACTTTGCTGTGCTTTTTTGTCCAAAGAATCATATTCTTTTGCCCTCTCACACGAGTGAAATTTACCCTTTCTGCCACGGCAATCATGGCGGCGACGGCGGTGTGGCAGCCACGAGAAGACGGCCTCACTGAGATCTGTGCTCTTCTCGAACAACAGATTTCTCCTTCCTCCGTCGTTGACAAGTCTCAGATTTGGAAGCAGCTTCAGCACTTCTCTCAGTTCCCCGATTTCAACAACTATCTCGTCTTCATCCTCGTCCGCGCCGAGGTTTTGCAGAGATTTCTCTACTTTCTCTCTGTTTCCCGAGACTTTTTTTTTCTGCTTTTCTGCCTAATTTTTTCGCCGTATTGACTCAATCTACTTGGCGAAGACTCATCGTCTTCGCAGTTCTGATCGTTGAATTTTATTTTCCTGACCAGATTCTGTTTGTCTCTCGCTCATCTTAGTTTGATCCTGCGTTTTCGCTTGAATTGCTTTCGTTTCTCGAGACAAAAAAACTTTAGTTTCTATGTTCTGTGCCCTAGTGGATTTCTTACCTTCTGATCATATTCGTCTTTGCCACTAGTTTGTGTTTATCTGAGTATAACCTTTGTGATTCGATTCGATTTTTCTGTTTCCTAATTGACTTGAAGCTTACTTGTATCCAAATGACGAAGATGTTGTATAGAGAATAGTGAATTGTGTGTTATTTGCTTTCAAATTTAGTTTCACTTTACATTAGGTCTATGCGTTATTTCTGAACATTTGTTTCCTGGTATGATGATCAGGGTAAGTCCGTTGAGATTCGCCAAGCTGCTGGATTGCTGCTGAAAAACAATTTGAAAGGTGCGTATCCGTCCATGGCTCAAGATAACCAGAAGTACATCAAGTCGGAGTTGCTGCCTTGTCTGGGAGCAGTGGACAGACATATTCGGACAACAGTTGGAACTATCATCAGTGTTATTGTTCATATAGAGGGAGTCTCTGGATGGCCTGAGCTTTTGCCAGCTCTTGTGACTTGTTTAGACAGTAATGACCTGAATCATATGGATGGCGCGATGGATGCATTGTCAAAGGTATGTAGCAGCTATGAGTTGCCTTCTCTGTTTCTTGTTCTGTTTGTTTAACCTTAATTAATGGACCATAAGCACAAGTCATTCATGTTCTGCCTGCTTGCTGTGATGTCGTTGTAATATCTACATGTCTTATCGATCAGATTTGTGAGGATATACCGCATGTCTTGGATTCAGAAGTGCCTGGTTTAGCAGAACGCCCTATCAACATCTTCATGCCTAGGCTATTTCAGGTGAACATCTCATATTCAGACAGAAATTTCAAACACCTGCTAGGTTCTTGTTTGGTTTCTTTTCTTCCTACCGGATTGGTTGCGTTAAAGATTGATTACGGTTCTTTTGTTTGAGCAGTTTTTCCAGTCGCCGCATGCTACACTGAGGAAGCTTGCCCTGGGCTCTGTGAACCAATACATCATAATAATGCCTGCCGTGAGTATCGGGAAGACTGCTTATAAAACTTCGTTTTCATTTTATACGGTGTAAAGAAACATGGAATGTAACAATCTACGTTTTTGCAGGCTTTGTACCATTCCATGGATAAGTACCTTCAGGGGTTGTTTGTCCTCGCCAATGATCCTGTAGCAGAAGTCAGAAAATTAGTATGTGTCTTATTTACGATTCTGTCAATTCTTTCTTAGTATCTTCTTACAAATATTTTTGCCAGTATACTGTGTGAGGAGAGAGTTGTTTTTGGCTTCGAACAATTGTTTACTTTAGATGATATATGATTCAGTCAGATTCCCATCTCATTGTGAAAGTTCTTATGCTTCTAAAATCTGAAACAGTGTCTCTTCTTGTATTTTAAAGGTCTGCGCAGCATTTGTACATCTCACGGAAGTCCTCCCCTCGTCCATAGAGGTATTTTTTAATTTGGTTATAGTGTACAAATTATTTCAAATCTACTCTGAAAGTATTGCTTTTTATAAAGTACTTCTTATGTTTAGTTTAAGCTTTTCTTCTACCATGCATCTTAGATTTGTGGAACTCCCTTTTTTGTCTATTTCAGCCGCATATCAGGAATGTCATGGAATACATGCTACAAGTTAACAAAGACCCTGACGAAGAAGTGGCTCTCGAAGCATGTGAATTTTGGTAAAATGTTATTCTCTTTGTTTGCTCTGTAGATGACTGTTTTTCTCTAATGTCATTGTCCTCAAAGCTATATTGTTGTTTGGCAGGACTGCATACTGTGATGCTCAGCTGCCGCCAGAGAACTTGAAAGAGTTACTGCCACGCCTAATTCCAGTACAGTGATGCTTCTCCTTTTCTTCAGTATATTTTTGGGCACTTAATCATTTACTCAGCAGGTGTAGTTTGTAATTTTTGTAAATTATATCTGTTTTAGGTGTTGCTCTCAAACATGGCTTATGCAGATGACGATGAGTCGCTTTTGGATGCCGAGGTTGTTTTTCTGATGATATTATATGTTTTGTCACGTTTCTCAATATCATTGTCAATTATATATTTATATGAATATTGTTCATTATTGCAGGAAGATGAGTCTCAACCAGACAGAGATCAGGTGCAGTTTGTTGTTCTTGTGACTTTGATTTTCTTATTAAAGAATTCTTTTCAATTTTCATTCATTTTGGGAACCCCCTACAGGATTTGAAACCTCGTTTCCATACATCAAGACTTCATGGATCAGATGATTTTGATGACGATGTACGTGATCTACTTCTTTTAGTGTCATCTGATATCTGTATAGATGTTGCGTATGTGTGTAAAATACAAATATAGTAATTCTATAGATCCCTCTTTAATGACTGTCTCTGGGTACAGGATGATGACTCGTTTAACGTGTGGAATTTAAGAAAGTGCAGTGCAGCAGCTATTGACGTTCTCTCTAATGTATTTGGAGATGAAATCCTTCCAGCACTCATGCCCCTTATTCAGGTAAGTGTTATTCCTATCGGTCTTTGCCTCTTTGGAAGTAAACACAATTAGCTAAACCATGTTCTTCCAAGCTGCAGGCAAAAATATCGACTTCCGGTGATGAGACCTGGAAAGAAAGGGAAGCTGCTGTTTTGACTCTTGGGGCTATTGCTGAAGGCTGCTTCAATGGTCTTTACCCTCATTTGTCTGAGGCAAGTTCGGTTTTTATCTACATCGTCTTACATATGTGATTTCTCTGCGCTCTGTTCAAGTACATCAACAATATGCTATTGCCTTATTTCTGCAGATCGTAGAATTTCTTCTTCCTCTTTTAGATGATAAATTCCCTCTCATACGAAGTATATCTTGCTGGACGCTTTCTCGATTTGGCAAGTATCTTATTCAGGTATGATTTGAACAGGAAATTTCGTGCTGCAACTGCTTCAAACAGTCGTTAGATAATTCACTGCTTTTAATTTCTAGGAAAGTGGCAATCCGAAGGGTCATGAACAGTTTGAGAAGGTTCTTATGGGTCTTCTCCGCAGACTCTTGGATTCGAACAAGCGGGTCCAGGAGGCTGCCTGTTCAGCATTTGCAACTGTTGAAGAGGTATCTATTGGCTTTGGTTTTTTATATCATTTGTGGATGTTGGTTAATCATTTGAATTTTGGTTGATCATGTGAATTTTCTATGAACATGTAGGATGCTGCTGAAGAGTTAGTGCCACACCTGGGTGTAATACTGCAGCATCTAATGTGTGCATTTGGAAAGTATCAGGTCGTTAAATCTTTTGAAATTACCTTCTTTACGAGAATAAATCTCTGTTTCTGTACGTCTGCCTAACACACAGTTTTCATATCCCAGAGGCGGAACTTAAGAATCGTTTATGATGCTATCGGAACACTGGCAGATTCGGTTAGAGAAGAGCTGAACAAGGTATAACAAATTGGTTTGTCTAAGGTTAATCTGTTCTTGTAAATTTTAGCTAGACTATTATTTTTGTTTATTCCATATACTGTAGGCTGTAGCTACTATGAATTTTGTTGCCTACTTAATATTCTTCCTTCTGCAGCCCGCTTATCTTGAGATTCTGATGCCTCCACTGGTTTTAAAGTGGCAACAACTTACAAATTCAGATAAAGATCTATTTCCGTTGCTGGAATGCTTCACATCTATTTCTCAGGTAAGGGCTATTTGTCAAGGCCTTTCGAATATCTGTAAAGTCTTGACTCTGGTGCACCAAAAAAACTAAGTTTTGCACTCGTAGTCACTGCTCACTAGTTAGTGAAGGTTCCCAGATTTTGGTAGTCTTAAGAACTCTGAAAAAGTAACATGGGGTTGTTGGTCAGCTAAAAGGCCAAAACTCCTTGCATCCAACAGTTGCAAACGTCTGACAAGTTCATCTTGACGGAATGTTAGACTGTTTGCAGCATGAATTGTCTGTCTAACAAATTGTGTTTCCATCTTTCAGGCTTTAGGTGTAGCCTTTGCGCCATTTGCTCAGCCTGTTTTCCAGAGATGCATGGATATCATCCTAGTACAACAGCTGGCTAAGGTGAGATTTCATCTCGTTTGATAATTAGAGCTATCCTTTCCAGCTTTCCTTACCAATTATACTGCCTCAGCTAGTAAGCGTCACAGGCTTGCGTCTAGAAACAGTTCTTCATTCTGTACTGGGTCACGTACATAACCGTTGCATACTTATGTTTGTTGTTTGATGAAAGTTTCCTTGTGTTGTTTGTAGGTTGATCCTGCTTCTGCAGGGACTCAGTACGACAGAGAATTCATTGTTTGTTCTCTTGATTTGCTTTCTGGACTTGCTGAAGGGCTTGGCAGTGGGATAGAGTCTCTGGTAACTCACTTTTCTCGATGTCTTGCTCACACGTTTGTCTACTCATAAAGTCCTCACTCAGTGGATAACTCTTTGAGCTGCTTTGATTAATGTTGTTGATGGTATAGTATGATAGAGTCAATTGACACCACCGGATATATTCGTATGCAGGTTTCACAAAGTAATCTTAGGGATCTGCTATTCAAGTGTTGCATGGATGAAGCTCCTGATGTCAGACAAAGTGCTTTTGCTCTCATGGGTGATCTTGCAAGAGTAAGTTGAATATTCTTTTGTACTTTAGATAGTGTTCATTAACATAATTTAACAGCTGAGCAAGTCTTACCCGTTGAAACCCTGTAATTATATGGGATCATATCTTATAATTCCGATTCCTTTCTGATAGATATATTAGTGTAGTAATGCCGTTTGGCTACATTTGTCAGGTATTCCCAGCCTATCTACAACCCCGCCTGGTTGAGTACCTTGAAGTTGCAAGCCAGCAACTGGTTGGTATCCAAGTTTTACTCCGACTATACCAATTCTCTTCTGCTTATGTATTGATCATATCTTTGTTTTGTATAGAGTGCAAACCTCATTAGAGAAAACATTTCTGTCGCAAACAATGCTTGTTGGGCCATTGGAGAATTAGCGGTCAAGGTAATACCAAACTACTACTATTTTTGCTTTCGGAGCTTGAAGTTTTTGGTTAAGAGCAGAGTCATTAATGATATGAACATTTCAGGTTCGTCAAGAAGTCTCACCAATTGTGACCAACGTTGTCTCTTCCCTTGGCTTGATTCTTCAGCATGGAGAGGTAACTCCAACAGCCTATAAATTCAATAGCCTCTTGGCCATGTCTGATGAGTCTATCAACTGCTGTAACTGATGATTATGCCTAATATTTATTTTCTTGTGAAGCAGGGCGTGAATAAGTCACTAGTTGAGAACAGTGCAATTACCCTCGGGAGACTAGCTTGGATTCGTCCAGACCTCGTTGCACCTCACATGGAGCACTTCATGAAGCCATGGTGCTTGGCATTGTCAACGTTAGTGAGCCTTTATGTTGGATTTGGAGTCTTCACATCATTCCCAGCCTTCGTGATTTATAAAACATTTTTTTTTGTCTTCAGGGTACGTGATGACATTGAGAAAGAAGATGCATTTAGAGGGTTATGTGCAGTGGTATTTCTCTCTCTACTCTTTTGCCTTTTTTTGCTTGAAACATGTAAAATCAAAGCAAGTTTGATATCTTACAAATGCTCTCCATATATACAGGTTAAAGTGAATCCATCAGGAGGTGTCAGCTCACTTGTTTTCATATGCAAAGCCATTGCAAGCTGGCACGTAAGTGAAAACGAAAAACCCAACTGTTAACTCTCATGGCTAAATTTAAATCTTTGGAACAGCTTGTTGTTGTTGACACACGGATGACAACTTTTGATCACAGGAAATAAGAAGCGAGGACGTCAATAACGAAGTATCCCAAGTGCTAAACGGCTATAAACACGTAAGCTATGTTCAATCTAAGCTAAGGTCAGTTTTTAATCTGATGTACAAAATGATTAACGTCTTTAAAAAATCATACAGATGCTGGGAAACTCATGGGCGGAATGTTTAGCTGCTTTGGATCCTCCTGTAAAGGAAAGGCTTGCGAGATATCAAGTGTAATATTGAGTGATTGTGTACACCCGATTAGTCTCAAACCAGAGAGATCCGCTCTATCTTCTTGTTCATTGCAAAACAGCAAATAGATTCACAGAGAGTTTGAACAGAAGTAGAAGCGCTTGAGACACCATATATTTTTGCAAGATTAAATTGAAGGGCAGAAAAACAAAAAAAGGGTCACGAGAGAAGACAGAAGAAACAGTACAGAGTTTGTGTGTTGGCTCTTCAGATTGGAAAATTTTACTTGCGGTCCTTTTTGTGTTATTTTTACCACGTCGATTCGATTCTTCGTCCTTTTCTTCTTTCGTGGGCAACGTTGGTTTTGAGCAGTTTTGGTAATATTTCTGAACCGAAAAGAGCTAAGGAAGTTTAATATTCATTGTGCTTCAACTTGTGTGTACCAAATAAGAAAAATGTGATTGGGATTTTGTGTATTTTTTTCTTCTGCCATTCATTATTCATTTGTATTTTATATTTGAAACCATTCCCAGTAGTCAAGATTCCAATCAGTTTATTCAAGTACTGGCCCGTGACACTCCTCAAGTCTAAGAAAAAATAGTGTTCCAAGTTCCAACATTTCGAAAATAATCAAAATTAAAAGTCTTTGGCTATTAGATTTTTTTTCACATTGTAAGAGCTGGTTCCAATCCCTTTCAGCTAGAAAGTAACTCGCTATCATCTGAAGAAGACGTCTAAAGAGATCAGTATGTTCGGAATGATGAAGCAATGGTTTGACTTTATTTTATTGATTAAGAAATGCAAATTGCATTTAACAAAACAAAAAAAAATACATACCGACTATGCTTTCATATATGATGATTTAACAAAAGAATTATATGAATACAGAGGCACGTGGATGTTTATATATGATATATATATTTCTGCAAGAGAGACTGTATGTACCGTTACGAAATTAAAAGTGAGGCTTAGGAAAGAGAGGAAGGAAAGAGAGAGATGGAAGAGAGGCTTGGAGGGATGAGACACATGCTGACAACGGTGTTCCTGTCGGCATTCGCCGGATTCTTGGTGACGCCGGTGATGACTGACGTCACCGTCGCCGCGGTTTGCTCCGACCTAAACGATACATGTTCTTTCGCCGTCTACCTCACCGGAGTACAACAAGTGGTAACAACCTCTGGCTCTAGCTACTTATATATCTACAGATGGATATAGTTAGTTTACTTTCATTTGATTTTACAGTTTAATCTTTTGATCATACCATTCCAAATCTCTGCGATTTCTTCAAAATTGAAAATCATTTTGAGAAACGAATTTATTTAGTTGACATTTTTAGTAAGAAAACGATTCTGAAAAGTTTAGTACTCCGTCTGTTTTTTTATGTACAGTATAATGTTTTAAGAGTTTGTTTTTGTTTTAAATTATATGATGTTTTTAGAATCAATACAACAATAACATCAATGTTTTTTCTAGAGATGACACATCAACATTTTGAAGCTTTGTGAAGATGACATCTCAGCAAAAATATTTACCAATCAAAACATTTTATTAATACAACACATCTACTTATTTTAATTTTAAAACTTAAATCCATTAAAAACCCAAATACTTTTTTTATTTGTTGTATTGATTTTTTACCAAACCCAAGCCTAAATAATTAGTAACAGTAAATAAAAAAGTATTTATTTTATTTTTTGCCAAACTCAATCCCAAATAATAAATAACAACAAATAAAAAAATTCAATCTTTGTTTTTTGATGAGCAACAAAATTTTCTGTTTTTGATGGATAATACAATTTCTTGGTTTTCACATGAAATACAGTTTCACAGTTTTTGCGAAAAAGTACAATTTGACGATTTTGGCGGAAAAATGCAATTTCTCAGTTTTGTTAGGAAAACACGATTTTTCGGTTCGACGAGAAAATAATTTTTCTTGGCTTTGGAGGAAAAAGATAATTTCTCGGTAATGGCGGATAAGCGAATTCTCGGATTTAGCGAGAAAATGTAAATTTTTGGTTTCGGTGAGAAAACAAAAAAATAAAATTTGACGGGAAAACAAAATATCTTAGTTTTGACGGGAAAATGCTCGATTTTGATAAGAAATGCAACTTTTCAATTTTGACAAAAATACGATTTCTCAGTTTTAATAAGAAATGCAAATTTTCGGCTTTTGACGGATAATGCGATTTCTTGGTTTTCGCGCGAAAATGTGATTTTTTAGTTTTTGCAGAAAAATTGAATTTGATGATTTTGGTGGGAAATACAATTTTTCGGTTTGATAGGAAAACAAAATTTCTTGATTTTGGTGGGAATAAGCAATTTCTTGGTTTAGATGGGAAATGCAAATTTTCATTTTTTTAAGAATAATGTGATTTTTTTGTTTTCGCGGAAAAATGTAATTTCTTAGTTTTCAAGGGAAAACACAATTTATCGGGAGATAATGCACTTTTTGGTTTTTGCGGTAAATTGTAATTTGTTTGTTTTGGTAGGAAAGTGTGATTCTTGGTTTGACGAGAAAATGAATTTTTGGTTTTGGCGGGAATAAAAGATTTCTTGGTTTTTGCAGGAAAATAATTTATTTGGTTTTGACAAGAAAATACGATTTTTTGGTTTTTGCAAAAAGATGAAAATTTTTGGTTTTGGTGAAAAAACATATTTTTTTCAGTTTTGGCGAGAAAACACAGGTTTTCGTGGAAAAAATAAAATTTTAGGTTTTAGGTTTGACGAGACAATGAATTTTTTTTTATTTTGTGTAGAATAGACGTTTTCTCAGTTTCATGGGAAAAATGAAGTTTTTTGGTTTTGATGGTAAATGCGATTTCTCGATTTTTATAAGAAGATGAAATTTTTCTGTGCTAAATTTCCAAGTTAAAGTGTGTTTACAGTAACCAAAATTTAATTATTTAACTTCAACTAAAACGATATTTCAACAGTTCAAACAGAATTTTCTATTTAATTCTAAAGCAATAGCAATGGTTTTGATATGAATGTTATTGATTATAATTTGGTAGTTTCAAAAACATATGTTTATAATAACTATTTGATAGATAAATAAATTTTATAATTCAAGATAATTATATTAATTAATAATTTTTTTAAAAAATGATATTTTGCTTTATATAATTACAAAAGAGGATCAAGTGACAATTTATTAGAGAAAATAGATTACATTTACCATTAATATGAAAGTACTGAAAAATATATTGCTTTATTATTACATATACATATATAATTAGTTAGTTAAACAAATTTAATACCAAATTATAATTTTAAAAAATAAATAAATTAAGGATATACAATGTTTATTTAAATTAAAAACATATAAATATATAACTGAAGCTAATAAAAAAATATAATATTTATATATATTATTAAATAATTTTATTATAATAAAAATATATACAAAATTTAGAAAAATATCATGCAGCATAGCGCGAGTAAATACCTAGTTCTATAAAAAAATGATAACAATTGACTAATTTTATCTTCATGTTAATTAATAAATTAAAACTTAATAAATAATAAATAAAGTCACAATAGATATTATATTAAATTTTTTAATTTGTGTGCATAGTACTAAAACAGTTTATCTCCTTTATATAAAAGAGATAGATTTCTAGGCTTCTAAGGACTGCCACATCAGCAAAAATAATCAGCCAATGGTAGACTCCAAAACTGCTATGTCATCTTCTTCAATCAATGACTTAAAGTCATTTCATTAAATAATTTATTAATCAAAACTTTTTCAAATTCTGACCACAAAAAAACTTCCATAATTACTAAATTCTCAAAAAAAAAACGAAACCCAAAAAAAAAAACTAAAAACGAATTACACTCAAACTCAATTCTAAAGCTCAAACAAAAGCTCATTATATAGAGTTATGGTTTTCTCGATTTCCAATCTTCTTGCCTCTAACTCACCAGAAACAGAATCAACCGTTACTAAACACAAACTTTACTCTTTAATTTATGACAACCAAACTGGCAAAAAACAATAAAGCTTAAATAAGTGGACCACAAAATAAGTGAAATCTAAAAAACATATAACTATAAAGTTCCACACTATTCACCAATATTGGCAAATAATCGAGCTAGCTAAACTATCAAACAAATAGTTTATCAATTAATAAAGAACTCATATAATAAAGAAGTTTATTATTAATTGCCATTTGGTTTCTTCTAATTATAAAACATCTATGTACACACTAAATCTTTAAAAATTGATAAGTAGAGAAATGCATATTATATGAAAAATAAAAGTAAAATCCTAACGTACAATATGAAACAAAAATGGAGTAAGAATTAAGTTTTTCTTTCTAAAAACATCAAACGAAAGAGAAGATTATTCAAAGTTAATGAAAGTGTAAAATAATATTCATGGTGTTCACAAAAGAAATGATATTATAACGCAAGATGTCCAAATTTTGACAATAGGTTTCTAATATAATATATAGTTCATGTAAACACTATTCACATAAATAAAAGATATAACAAAGAAAATTATCATACAAAAATGATTAAATTTTACCCTTCATATTTACAAAAACATGCATTAACTCTTAAAATAAGTTCAACTAATCCATAAGATACATTAATCTACCTTCAAATTATTATACAAAAATTCCGTTCATCTTTATATATATATATATATATTCCTTTTATATTTATTTCACTCGACTATATCTAAGAATCACATGTAAATATATTATTCTATAATTTATCACAATATTAAACACAAAATTAACTAACAACTTTTTATAAAACTACAATATAATTATACAATTCACGCGTAGACAAAACACTAATATAAAAAAAACTTCTTAATTTGTGTGCATAGCATTGAAAGTTAAATCTCGGAAATTGGCCCATGGTTCTTGTCTTTAGTGGTGTAATGTGGAGTGATTTATTGAGGCGTTGAAAAACAATTGTCAATAAATGTTCAACGTCAATAGGAGAATGACATGTTATCCGTCAAACCCGTCATCGCATTTTTAATTAATTAAACATAAGATATGCTGAGAGACTGTTAATGATAATGATATACTTCTAGAGATAAAAAAACTAAATTACACTATCTTGTTTCTCTCATATAGATTTCTATATAAGTACTTAACGGTATTACATGCTTTTGTGTCAAATAATGGTATATTATGATTAATAGTAGGATTAAGCTCATCCTTTATTATCAAACCGTTGTCATCACAAATTGTCATAATTGTTTTCAATAGTACAAGAATGTAAAACTATTTCAATTAATGTAACTTTTGGTTATGACAATGAAAATGGTGAAAACTTTCAGACAGTAGGACTAGGGACAATGGTAATGATGCCGGTGATCGGGAACCTAGCCGATAGATATGGAATCAAGACATTGCTCACTCTTCCCATGTGCCTCTCCATTCTTCCTCCAGGTTCTTTTCCTCCTTTTTTTTGCTTAGGGTTTGAATCAATTTTTTTTTTAAAACCTCATTAAAACATCAACTGAATTTTTGTTTTTTGTTTTTGTATTTTTGAAAAACCAATCATTAATGATGAAAATGTTAAATATCTTAACTATATATGTAGTATGTATCAGTAGTTATAAACTTTGCGTCTGAATAAATTAGCCAATCAATCATCTTTACCAATATCATACCTATGCACGATTCGCACGTCTATCTCGTTGATAAATAATAAACAGCATCACATCTGCTTACACATCTCTTTCGGTTTGCTAATTCCGACAGTATATTTTTTAAATTACTTAAACCTTTTTCTTTCCCCCAAGTTATCATTATATCGTTACTATAGTATCTTCAGAATTAATATTTATTAAAAATATATTTTCTGTAAGATCTGCTAAAAATTAGTACTTTTTATTGCAGCAATATTGGGGTATAGAAGAGATACAAACTTTTTCTATGCATTTTATATAACCAAGATTCTATTCGATATGGTTTGCCAAGGCGCCGTTGACTGTCTTGCTCAAGCTTATGTGGTAAATTTGCTTTCTCTTCACCACGATCTTATAATATTATATGATATTGAGGTCTTATAACAATATGTGTGGAACATTTTATTTCGTTTAATTTTATTTTTTCAGGCAAAAAACATTCATGCCAGAAAAAGAGTATCAATGTTTGGAGTCTTAGCAGGTGTCAGATCAGTTTCCGGAATTTTTGCAACATTCACAGCTCGTTTTCTACCCGTAGCTTCGATTTTCCAGGTATCGTGTCAGCATAAATATTAACTTCACATATTGGTTATCTAACAGCAGTATATATATAGAAGGAACTCAAATATTTATCAAGCTATCAATATAATTTTTAAGTTGTAACTTCATTTCAATATATATGTATATATAAGACCATTGTTACTGATTAGGTTTCAGCTATATCATTCTTCGTTGCCCTAGTGTACATGAGAGTTCTTTTAAAAGAGAGGCTACACGATAATGATGACGACGACTATCATGATGATGGTGGTAGAAATGATCAAGAGATTCATGTTGGTGGTGACCTAAGGATGTTAGCAGAGCCGATTCTAAGAGACGCACCGATTAAGACACATGTCTTCAACACTAACTACTCATCCTTGAAAGATATGGTCAGCTTGATAAAGAATAGGTACGCTGCATGCATTTATGGTATATATATATATATATGTATATATAATCCTAAATGATTGATAAGAGTTTTCTTTTATATAACACAGCACCATACTCATTCAAGCATTGGTTATTACATTCTTTGCTACCTTCTCACAAAGTGGAATGGACTCTGCTTTCATGGTTTGTCTCATTTCCAATTTTACATTAATTCTTTTACCTTTTTTGTTTTCTGTAAGTTGTGTAACTTAAAAATGTATTATTAACACCAACATGCATTAACTGTTTTTAATAATACAGTATTTTCTGAAAGCCCGTTTTGGGTTCAACAAAAATGACTTTGCTCAACTGATGATGTTGGTTAGCATTATTGGCTGTATCTCCCAGGTATTGTAAATTATATGTACTTATTGTTCTTTTATATATAATTGTTCTTTCTTTCATTCATACAATAGCACCTAGAGTATATATATATACATACAGGCTCGGCCGAGCACAGACAGGGTAAGCGGCTGTTTAGGACCACTTTTTTTTCAATTTTTTTTATGGGCCACATATATATTAAAAATAATAGGTATAACCCACATATACACTAAATTTTAAGTACATGTGTTTTAAAAAAGAAAAAATTACAAATATTAATAAAAGAACCTAAACAATTTAGAATTCTCTTATATTATCTTTTTTTAAAAACTTTTATACTTTCTATTATTAAAAAAAATTATATAAGACCACATTTTTTTTAGCTTCGGATCACCAATTAGGTTGGACCGGCTGTGTATATATATATATATATATATATCATTATTTTTAATATCTGAATAATATTATTCATTGATCCGTGCTGCTAAATTTATTTTCTCAGCTGCTTATACTGCCGATGTTGGTTTCTACCATCGGAGAACGTAGGATGTTATCAACAGGACTTCTTATGGAATCCTTCAGCGTAAACATTTTAGAAAATTTATTCAATTTGCTTCAGTTAATCACACTAACTAAATTGATATCATAATCTTGATATATATTCACATAGAGCTACTAATTTGGTTATGTGATTGTCATGCAGGCGGCTTGTCTTAGTGTCGCTTGGTCAGCATGGGTGAGTTAGTTCAGACATAGGCTGATCACGTTCAACTCCAAACTTGTCATAGGGGGCAGTGTACATGTTTAAGATCACAAATTTAATATGATTGTTTGTTTTGTTCAAACAATATAGATTCCTTATGCCACGACCGTGTTTGTACCCGGAGTCATGTTCGTAATGCCATCTGTAAGATTCCCTATCTTAACATTGGTGCTCTTTATTTAGTATCTCTTTATCATAACTTGAATTTTGTTTATAGGTTTATGGTATTTCCTCAAAACAAGTTGGGTCCGGTGAACAGGTAAAACCCTAAAATTTTCTTTCTTCTGGCAACTTTCCAGTGGTATAATGACGTAAAAAAAGTAACATTACACATATAATGAGCCAAGTAAGATTCATGATTACTAGTTAGAAGAAAAAGTAAGATTAGTTACTACAAATTCATCCATTTTCGCATGTAAACGGAATAAACTCTATTGATCCAAGACTAGAGCACGATAATAATGTTTTGATTTAATATTATTGGACATTGTATTCGGTATAATAGTACGTCACATTCTGACTCACTCAAGGTTTTGTTTGAATCAGATATACATGAAAACATTTCACATAAATATATTTTCTCTCTCACACAAAAAGTCTTGCTATTCTTCCACAAGTTCTAGATCATATTATTTTCATATTGTTGTAGGGGAAGGTCCAGGGATGTATATCTGGGGTAAAGTCATTTGCAGAAGTCGTGGCTCCATTTGTATATAGTCCATTGACAGGTACGTGAGCACATTAAACTGGACTGGAGTACGTACCATTCACTACTAAGTTCTAAAGCGTTTGAACTGATAAATAACTTGAACTTTTATAGCGTTGTTTCTCTCCGAAAATGCACCGTTCTATTTCCCTGGATTTAGCCTTCTATGCATCGCCTTATCCTGGGTATAGTGACTATAGTCTTGACACTTCCGACCATCTCATGCATGTTGATTGTATATATAATTAATAGTTATGCATTACTAACAGTTTTTGACATGCACAGATGTTGGGATTTCTTCAGAGTCTTCTCATAAAAGATGTTCCTTCTCCGTTAATGAACAATGAAATCAGCAACAATTCAAACGAGGAAGCGTGACAAGAGAGAGCTGTATATATATAATCATGCATATGCTGTAAAATCTTCAAGCAAGTAAAATGTAAAGAGTCAAGAATTTTCTAACATAACTTTTTTTAAAAATTATTTTACAACAAAATTTTGTTGTAGTAAAGTAGTTGTGAACGTTACATTTTGCAATAAGCTTAAGACACATACAAATTCGTAACTAATATGCTACAAATTTTGATACAAGATCATTGTAGAGTTTATTTGACAGATAATCAATTTAATAAAGAACTAAAATTAGCAAAAAAATAAAGACGGTTGCACTTTAGCACTCTTGTAAAAAAATTTGAAAAGCATGCACCAGAAATAAACCACCATATTAAGAAAATATCATCCGCTAGTTTGCGACAATTTGCTACAAAAATAGTAGTAGATAAAATGCTCCAAAATGATCCAGAATGATAAAAGAATGTGAAACGAGTACTCCGTCGAAGGAAAATTGTGAAAATGATCATTTTTTACGATTTTTAAAAATATCAGCGCTACCGTTCTAACTATGTTATTTTTAGACTAATGACAGACTAACAGCAGACTGAATGCAGACTACTGACAGACTGTTTGGTCAAAAATTAAATGTAGACTACTGACAAACTAATGCTAGACTAATTACAAATTACTGGCAGACTAAAACTAATGGATCTTTTTTACGAGTTATTTTACGAAGTGTCATGTTTTATAATAAAATTGTCAAATGAGTTATTTCAAAAATTATCCCAATAAAAATTGTTGCACATATTTGTACTTTTTTTTGTTCCACAACAGATATAATCAAATTTATTTTTAATATTCTACTGAATTAACAAAATATTATATGTCTATTTCAACCGCTTGATTAGTATTGCGAATCCATAACAAAATATTCAAAATGATAAAATTTTATCAATAAAGTATCTGAAACAAAAAATTTTTATCAATGAAGTATCTCAAACAAAATATTAATAAAGTGCTGACATTGCTTAGACATCAAGTAACATGCGTATTGCCTCAGTGTCTTGATTAGGGATTGTTAGAGCATCTATGTCGATGAGATACCAATAAAGTATCTCAAACAAAAAAATATCTATATTTTATAATTAAATTTTAAGCGATAACTAATCCAAATTTCTATCAACATCATTATGGGTCGATAGAGCACCCAACCCAAACACATTCCATCTTACCCATTATTTATTTTCATTCAACCAGTCACGTGTCTCATTTCTAATTTGAGCAATGGAGAATAAATGGGAGGACAACCCCTTCCCATTTTGTCACGTCCGTGCTTTTTTATTTCTCAAGTTGATCCATCTCCCTAAAGTTCAAATCTATGCATCAAGCCCAACAGCTGTCAGACCAATTCAGATAAGCATCTGTAAATTTCTCTCATATATCAATACTTTTTATACATTTTAAATTTATTCTCAGTTTATATCATTAGATATTTTATTAAATATGTTATTTGCATTTTAATTTTAAATATTAGAGTGTTTTAGTATTTATAATCATCTCCCAAAAAGTTATTATCATAATCATTATTTATTATAGCTGTTGAAAGATTACATTATAAACGAAGAAGTTCATATTTGGATGAAAAATGGCGTTACATCATTTTGGACGTAAAAAAAATTGAGTGGGGTAAGAGCTGATTTTACTCCAAAATATAGTTCAAAGTCTAAAATGGAATATGGTTAGAGATACTGTAAATATCCTATTATTTGGTAATGTGTTTGGTGCATGTTATACAGTATATAATTGTAGTCAAAATTTCAATACATTTTCATATTTAAAAGTAGTACCTTTTTGTTAGTCCAATCTAGTATTTAGTTATATTTATAGTATTTTGTATTCAAAATTTTACTATATTTATAAATTTATTAATATTTTTACTATATTATTTATAGATTTAATATATATATATATAGATTTGTTTATATTTATTAATAGTTCGATACACCAAACTGATCATTGGGTTTATTATACCTAATAAACTTGGCTTTATGATGTAAATACCAATACCAATTCTGAATATCACTTGTGACCCGTCTTATTTTTATTATGAGAACATCACATAAAGCCTAAAGACATTTGGGATAAGATCTTCAATATTTAGGTGTTGCACAACATTCTTATAGTAAAAATAAGGCAGGCTACAAGTAATCCTGAATTAGCCACCAAACCTGATCATTGGGTTAGTTGTACCCAGCAAATTTGGGCTCATGATGCAAAGACTAGTATCAATTTCAGATATAGCTTGTGACCCGCTTTATTTTTATTATAAAAACGTCATAATAGCATATAAAAGCATTCAGGACAAAATCTCCAACCTTTAGGAGTCATTGCAACATTCTCATAGTAAAAATAAGGCGGACTACAAGCAATATCCGGAATTGATATTGATATTTATGTCATAAACCCAGGTTTGTTAGGTACACCAAACCTGATCATTAGGTTTGTTGTACTTTTTGTTCGGAAATTTGCTGGACGTTAATTAGGCGCTCGGCTCGAGCCTAACGATTTTAAAAAAAAAATCGGAAATAAATTGGAGAGTAATTAGAAAGTAATTTTTATACAATTGAATATTTTATTAAACATTTTTATACTTAATACATCAAAATTAAAAATTCATAACATTTTTTTTCAAGATTTATATAAGTATCAAATTAGATGAGAGCCAAAAAGTTTTTTAAATATAAAATATAAAAATAAAACAACTAAGATTCATAGATTATTTATAGGTTCTCTTGTTCTAAAAGGCGGCCGTTTAACCACTTACACAGTAGCAAAATCGCTCAACAGATGCCAACCGCCGCGAATTTTTCCAAATCGGTTGAACAAATCGGTAGCCGATTTATTAACCAATCAATTATATTAAGCGCTCTAAATTGAATAAAATCCTGATTTATTTAATATTTAACTGTAATTGGGCCCATAATACTTAGTGAGTTTTGGGCCTTTCGACTTAATTGAAGCATTTTTCAGTTTGAGTGACGGTAAGAGTATGCTTTATTTATAGTTCCAATTTGTGTTGATCATTTTTTTCTTTGTTTCGTTGTGGGAACATTTTAAATTTTTACTTGTCTCTTTTTTATTAGGATCTGAATCATTTGATTGGTTCAAATTTAGTCAATAAAATAAATACAAATTTGAGATGGTAGTGCACCTAGTTGAATTATACAAAATTATATATAAATAAGTGTGATTTTAATGAATATACATAAATACTTTGATAATTTGGTAAATGGTAACAGATAACTAAAAATTAGGTAAATAACAAAGAGAAATAAATTTTAATCCTAAAATCTCATTGTTATTTAATTTAATTGCAAAAATACCATTCGTCAAAAAATTCTGTTATAAAATCCCAACTTCTAACACTCATCACTATTATCAATGTTGTCATCCTTGTCTAAGTTAACAAGGATGGTAAAACTATGTTATCATTCGTGATAAATAGTATTATCATTAATATTATCATCATTGTTAACGTTGTTCTAATCATCGGTGTTACGATTATCGTTATCAGCATATCTAGCAATGCAATCACTACCGTTAACACTTTTATTCATAGTTATCATCATTTTCATTTTCATCTTCATCATTAACATTAGCGTTACTACTGTCGTTATTCTTCTTCGTCTCCTTCTTCTTTTTCCTTCTTCTCTTCTTCCTTCTCTTTTTTTTTTCTTCTTCACCTTTTTAAAAATGTAATTAATCTAGAATCATGAGGGCAAAATAGGATTTAAAACTAGGGGGAATTGCTGAATATGACTCAAAACTTGAGTTGAAATACAAAACTAGACCCTCTATTGCATGTTTGACAAAAATAACTCACAAATGTAGTGAAATTACAACATTAACCCTTCTGACCAAACAAAAAAAGTCAGCCGCAATTATTGTTTTATCCCCGAGAAGTCTACTCGAGCTCGAGTAAACTTCTCTGGAGAAGCCTACTCTATAATAATTTGTTCACAATTAATTTTAAAAATCATGACAAATAATTTGATAAAAAGATTAGATACATAAAATAAATATATATTTTTTACACCTATTAAAAATAAAATTTGACACAAAATAATCAGTTTAAATCATTATAGATAAATTAGGTTAGAAATGAATACTAAGTAGACTTCTCGGATTCTCGAGTACACTTCTCAAAGGTAGACTTCTCTAAGAAGTCTACTCTCTAATAATTTATTTACCATTAATTAAAAAAAATCATGAAAATAATTTGGTAAAAAAATTATCAACATAACAAAAACATATACTTTTACACATATTAAAAATAAAATTTGATACAAAATTATAAATATAAATCATCGTAGATAAATTAAGTTATAAATCAATACTAAGTAGACTTCTCGGGTTCTCAAGTAGACTTCTCCAAGAAGTCTACTCTCTAATAATTTCTTTACCATTAATTAAAAAAATCATGAAAAATAATTTGGTAAAAACATTATATACACAACTTAAACACATACATTTAGCATCTATATAAAAAAAAGTTCATGAACATGAATCAATTTATAAGCTTCATAAGAACACATCTCAAAAGGCTTAAGTTTGAGATTTAGGATTTAGGGTTTGTATAATTTCTATATGAATCATAGTTTATGGTTCAGTTAATGAATCATGGTTCATATATTTGTTATTTTAACTATGAGTTGTCAACATGGTAAGTAAATTAATGTTTTCATATAAGTTTTAATCAAAAAATTTGATTTAGGGTTTAAGATTAAGTAGACATCTCGCAAAAAGCAAGTAACAAAAAAGCAAGAGAATTCTAATTTGTTGTTTGAAAAGTAAGTAACAATGAATTTGGAATTCCACTTTCAGATATTTGAGTCTAAAGACCTGCCAGATAATTCTTTGTAACAGGTTCTTCTTGAGTACTTCGATGGTGGAAGGGCATACTCACCAGCGTATGTGATATCATTTGTACACTCGCCCGAATATGGAACACCTCCCGAGACACCAGCTGATCATCTGGAAACCAATGAGATTAGATTTCAGATTTCTTTACAGAATTCGACATCAAAGGACGTACCACATAGATCGAACATACTTGGTGGAGTGTACACTGGTGATCCACGTGTGAGGGCTTTTTTTGCAAATCGTACCAAAGTCTAATATGCTCCCATTCAAGCCGTACCGCAGAATGAGGTCAAAAAATTTCTAACACTTCTCAAAGAATCAAAGAAAAGTTAGTGTTTATAATAAAACATTTTGAGAAACGTGCCAGAGAGAGTTTTCCCCCACGGTTTGTTTACATGTAATACATAAGTTATACTGAATTCTTCCTATTAGGCTTTTACTAAACTTGTAATCTTATGATAAGTGTTGCATGTCTAGTTTCTAGATTGAATAGATGAGTATGTGGTTATGATTAATGTATCATATTGATCAAATTGGTCAATCTTTAGACATTAGAACACGTATTTAACTAGTTTGTTATAATTTGTAAAATGGTTAAACATCTGAAATGGTTTCTTGACTATTCTTGACTCAAAGAGAGAAATTGAAGTATCTCATGTGTGGATAGCTCGTTGTTACCAAATATATAAAATGGCTTCGACGAACATTGTGTTAGTGTAGAAAATAATTGATTTATATATCTTCAATTGCGCGAAGACGAATATTTTTATTAGACTTGAATCTGATAAAGTTAATCTTATAAGATTACACTTTTTTTAGTGTTAAACAACTCTAGATTCGTAGATTGATTCTACAAGATTTTTTTAAGCTCTAAACTAATAAAACACTAGATCTCTTTTTTTTTTCTTTTTTTTCAACTGATCATATTAATTTTACGCTTAAAACAGAATTACAATAGCAGATAGAAGTAGATGACTCGGTGCCAAGGAGTGATCACTTGTTACAGAAAAATAGAACAAAGCAGTTAAGAGATAGGTTATGCAGTTTAAACCAAAGACAAAAACTGGAAGCGTCTTCAAAAGGACCTCTGAGATCGATCTGAAGCTCTTCTACCATTAGAGACAAGCGAACAACAAGAATAAATCGAAGCGCTGTTAGGGCTGAACGTTTGAGAAAATTCTCCATGAAGGAGAAGAGCGGATTCTGAGATACGCCGGCAAGTTGGCAATACTCAAGAACTGCAGCTTTTAATGAAGTACCATCAGAGGAAGATTGTTGCCATCTTTGGCTACCTCTAACTCCCGGACATGGTCGATACTGAATGGAGAAAGATTGTTACCGTCGTAGGCTACCTCTAACTCCCAGACAAAAAGATGGCTTGTCAAAAGCTAAAGATGATTGGTCATGGCCCTCACAGCCCACCAAAAATTCAGAACATAACACATTTGTTGGGCTAAGCTTGTAAAGCAAACCCAAAAATTGGCCCAACTGATCTCATAACAAGTAAATCTAGCTTCAACATAGAACACTTACCTCTCAGCTCTTTCTACCCTTACCCTTATATTTTCCAAGCATCTAAACCTAGACTCGCATATCTTCAGTTTTACTCATCATGTTTATGCTTTCCTTAATCAATACTCCGTATATATGCTAATTTATAAAGGATCCTCTTCAATCATTCCAGTCATGTCAGTTCCTATCCGTTTGCTGCTGCTTTCCAAGTTTCAACACCTCTCTGGATAAGTGTTGTGTCAGCTTCATGTTGATCTCACGTCTTAGCTGCATCTCCATGTTGATTTGTTATCACAGGATTGTCGAAGGACTGGTAATGCTGGTAATATATTGTGATAAGATTGTAGATTTTAATGGAAAATTGATTTAGGCTTGTTTATCGTATTGTTGGTAGTTGCAGGCAACAAAATTTTTGGTTGCACACGATTGTATCTATACATGTGCAAAGTATGCTTGCACAAATTGGTGTAGTTTCTAAGAGCTTGACTTGTTTAAACGCAGTGATTGCGGTTGCGGGTGCGAAAATTTGCAGAAGTAGACAGTTATGGTTAACAATGTTAACCAGCTGCTTGTACGACTAGTATAGTGATTGTGAGCGGGTGTATTTGTGGAACATTTTTGACTGATTTTTCAATGAGTGCAAAAATGGTTAGACAATGAAATAACAATATAAATAAATTCTGTAGTTAAAAAATAAAAATATATTATTACGAGAAATATAAAATTATTACATTAATATGATTAATAAAAAATTATAAAATAATATGCATAATACTTACTTTTATTTTTACACTTTTTAGTTTAGATGAAAATTATAATTTTTATCAATATTAAAATAATTTTAGTTATTATAAATATATATATATATATATGTATATATAATTTATCTAAATTTTTTGGCGTAAAAGTTCTATAAATATAAAATTATGATTAATAATTAATAAATATCAATTTTAGTCAATACAAATATTTAATTAATATGACTTCAAAAGTGTCAAATTTATTTATATAGTTTTTAATTATAATATTCAAAACTTATTTAGAAAAATATTATATATTTTAATTTTAAATAATTTTTTTTTAATTGTTCATCCGCAATCGTACATAGCCGTTTATGATAGTGAAAAAAAGAAATATTAACATATTTGTGGAAATAAGTTAATAAATATTTATATGATTTAGCAAAGTATTATTAGTAGTTGAATAATTGGCACGTGGATATTTACCTAAGATAACATTTGTGCAAGACAATTTATGTAGTTAAAAGAATCAGAAGTCAGGAGAGGAGAGAGGAAATTAAAGAGAGAGATGGAGGAGAGGCTTGGAGGGCTGCTGATACACATGCTGACGACGGTTTTCCTGTCAGGGTTCGCTGGACTCTTGGTGAGCCCGGTGATGACTGACGTCACCGTCGCTGCGGTATGCTCCGGCCAAAAAGATACCTGTTCTTTCGCCGTCTACCTCACCGGAATACGACAAGTGGTACACGAACCTCTACTCATATATGCATACTGGTCGTTTACTGAATTACTGTCATTGTTTTTCCTCTTTAATATCTTTATATTTGATCTTTTGGTCATAACAAATGCTTCCAAGATCTCTTCAATGTCGTCAAAATTGATAACCTATAACTCAAATTATCTATATTAGTTGGTTTTTTTGAAAGAAAGGATTTTGAATAATCTATATAGTCTAGCCTTCAAAATTCAAACTTTAGTTTTTTTTCATTCTAGGTGAATTATTCTTAAGAAATGTTTTACCTGACTCGGAGATTTACATCTATTTATCGCATTAGCTGGAAAATTAAACTGAAAGATCATTTGAGAATTTAGAGTATTAACAAAGTTACTGATAATTTGAGGTTAAATTGATGACACTACAAAGATTGTTTGTTCATATAGGCAGTGTGATTTGGAGTTAGACTAATGACTCACATTAGTTCAAAAAGAAAAAAGAAAAAAACTGATGACACATCGTTTAATTTGTGTTATAAAAAACCTTTTATTTTTTTCAACCAATCAACATAATTAAATAAAAAATTCAGAACTACATATAATCTTCGGTCGTTGTTATGTTTTACAAGAAGTTCAATGTATATTACAAGATTAAAAAAAAAACTGAAAAAATTAATGTACACTTTTGTTATGACGGTGAAAATGGTAAAAAAAAAAAAAAAAAAAAAAAAAAAGACAGTAGGACTGGGGACAATGGTCATGATGCCGGTAATAGGGAATCTTGCTGACAAACATGGAATCAAGGCATTGCTCACTCTTCCCATGTGCCTCTCCATTGTCCCTCCAGGTTCCATTTTTCTTTGAACTTAAAGTTTTGATTTAGTTTTTTTAACACTCGTTATATCATGAAATCAAATATTTTCACACATGGTTTATGCTGGTGATCAATAAAAAAAAAGTAATAAAAATAATAAGAAAAAATAAAAAAATGAATATGAATGTAATATATATTTTGGGAAATAAATAAATATATTTTATTCTACCAAATTTAATAAAGAATACATTTGTTCTATAAATTTTTATATGATAAGAAATAAGAAAAAATATTAAGGAAACATTATTTTTTGTTAAAGAGCCTCCAAGAATGATAGAGTAAGAAAAACATCATAATTATAGAATTATTTGTTAGAGTCATTACCACTTTGACTGGGCCCGACTTGGTGGAGTTGTTTAATGTTAGAGAAACATTATTAGTAGTAACTGGTAAATCTTTTAAGGAATGGAGTCATTCTCTTGATTACCAATTGAAGCCACAGTGTTTTTTTTTACTATGTTCCCTTTTTTGTTCTTATTTTACCATTTCAATAGAGAAATTACAAGTTGTAATTTTTCTCAGAAACTAACTAAAAACTCAAAAATGATAGTAAGAAAAACATCATGCAAAGCCAACAATTATAAAATTATTGGTTAGAGTCATTACCACTTTGACTGGGCCCGACTTGGTGGAGTTGTTTAATGTTTTAAATTGTACAATCCAGTTAATAACGTAAACCAATACCATGTAAAATGCCTAATTATTATTATTATTATTTTATTTGTTTGGTAAAGAAATTATTATCTCTTTATTTAATTGATATCGTGGACACATATTCACGATTCCATAAGATAGTGCTAACATAAAAAAAAAACTATGAGATCCTTTCCCACGCCTATCTCGTTTTGGCATCTCAACCGAAATTGTCTCTTTCGTAATCGTTAACCGTTACCCTATTTTATGTCTATACAGTACTTTATGTTTTAAATAATTAAAATTTTCGAATAAAAACAAAAAGTACTGTCTTTTTGTCACGTTTAAAATAAAACCGACGGACAATTATTTCCAAAGATACTGAATTTGTTGGAGCATCTGCTCTGACAGGCTGATTAAAATAACCAAATTTGCAACCAAATTTCAAATTGAAATATAATTGAATGAAGCATCATTATATGATTTAGCAATAATATAAAATAACTTAGTTTTATAAAAGTTGGTAATATAATATATTTGGGTATGTTAGTTGGGAAAATGACATGTTATGAGATATCGCATTCATATAATGTAGTAAAATTTTGCAGCGATACTAGGGTATAGAAGGGATACGAACTTTTTCTACGCATTTTATATAATCAAGATTCTATTCGACATGATCTGCCAAGGCACCGTCGACTGTCTCGCTCAAGCTTATGTGGTAAAATGTTTTCACTTAACCATAATATAAGAATTTGATATGCATGGTCTTATTTTATAAAACATTTACACAAAGTCATTTCGCTTAATTATCTTTTCAGGCAAAAAATGTTTATGGCAGAAAAAGAATATCAATGTTTGGAGTTTTAGCAGGTGTCAAATCAATTTCCGGAGTTTGTGCCACATTTGCAGCTCGTTTTCTACCTACAGCTTCGATCTTTCAGGTTTTGTATAAATAAACTAATAATGATATAACGAAAACAAAAAAACAATGAAATAACAAAAGAGGCAAACTGAAAAGATGATTTAATCATATGGACTGATTTTCATAACTTTTTATACTGGTTATCTAACAAGAAAATAGAAGGAAATTAAAAGATATAGATTATCAACATACAGTTTCAAGTGAAATTTTGTTCAAAAGAAAAATTTCAAGTGGAACTTCACTTAATATATACAAAATATTATAATTGATTAGGTTTCAGCTTTATCATTACTCGTTTGCCTGGTGTACATGAGAATATTCCTAAAAGAGAGGTTACACGATAATGATGACGATGACGACTGTTGTGATGATGGTGATTTAAGGATGTTAGAAGAGCCGATTCTAAAAAAGGCACATGTCCTCAACAATACATATTCGTCTTTGAAAGATATGGTCAACTTGATGAAGAATAGGTACTTTCAATTTATATATGATGTATCCGTGCATGGTGACATCTACACACACATACTAAATATATATGCACATATTATATTATGTATGCATGGTGGTATATATATAATCCTAAATGATCCGATGAGTTTCTATAACACAGCACTATACTCGTTCAAGCATTGGTTGTTACATTCTTTGCTACCTTCTCACAAAGTGGAATGGAGTCTGCTTTCATGGTTTTTCTCATCTCCACAATTTTACATTTATTATTGTACTTAAAAAAATTATTAATTAACACAAAATATATTAACTATTTTTTTAATAATACAGTATTTTCTGAAAGCCCGCTTTGGGTTCAACAAAAATGACTTTGCTCAGCTCTTCCTGTTGGTTGCGATCATTGGCTCCATCTCCCAGGTGATTTATACGTGTTACCATCGAAACAAATCATCGTTTATAATTCGAATAAATATTGTTTATCGATATGTGCTGCTAATATTTTGTTTTGTCAGCTGTTTATATTGCGGTTATTGGTTTCTGCGATTGGAGAACGTAGAGTGTTATCAACAGGGCTTCTAATGGAATTCTTCAACGTAAACATTCTAGAACCTGATTCTTATCTTCATTTTTCTTCAGCTAATCTACACGCTATATATAGACTAATGTCCCTAATAATGATATATTTCCATAAATAAAATAGCTAATAAAATTTGGTTATGTGCTTGTCGTGCAGGCAGCAATTCTGAGTGTTTCATGGTCAGCATGGGTGAGTCCGTTTATACTAGCCCCGTGTTATAACACTTACGAAATTAACAAATTTTATTTATAACTTAACCTCCATTTTTGTGGAAAAAACTTATTCAAATAGAACATATATATATATATATATATATATCAAACATAGTCCTTATTATTGAGCTGACCATGCTTGAAACTTTCTTCTATATCGATCTTTGGTCTATAGTATCTAGGTCCAAGAGACTTCTATAGCATTAAATCATGTAAAGGATAACAAATTTAGTATGATAGTTTGGATTTGTTTGCGAATAATGTAGGTTCCTTATGCCGCGACCGTGCTTGTACCCGGAGTAATGTTCGTAATGCCATCTGTAAGATTTTGTTGCTTAACATTGGTGCTCTTTACCATATTATCACTTAAATGTAACTTCAACATATGGTTATAGGTTTCTGGTATTGCCTCAAGACAAGTTGGATCCGCAGAACAGGTTAGGCCGAAAAAGTTTTATTCCTTTATAAACTTTCTTATTTTAAATTTCAAAGTATTTAAGTCAGTTATCCCAGATTGGTTTCTTCAAATGATCGGAATGGTATACAAGTTAATTTTACATACTCTTTTTTTCATTTGAATGTGAAATGCACAAAATCTCACACAAATATTTTATCTCTCTAACAAAATGTTGTTATTCCTTCACAACTTTTAGATTTTGTCAATTTCATATTTCCTTTTCGTTTCAGGGGAAGGTCCTGGGTTGCATATATGGGGTAAAGTCATTTGCAGAAGTCGTAGCTCCATTTGTATATAGTCCATTGACAGGTACGTGAACACATTACTAGAGTGGACTTTGAACACCATTTATTAGCAACTTTTAATTAAAGCGTTTAACAAACACATAATTTTGTTTTGGTATAGCTTTGTTTCTCTCCGACAATGCACCGTTCTATTTCCCTGGATTCAGCATTCTATGCATCGCCTTATCCTTGGTATTCTTTACACTTGCGAACATCTCATCCATCACAACTATATATGTAATATGTTGATTGTATATATATGAATTAATTATGCAACACTAACATTTTTTTACATGCACAGATGATTGGATTCATACAGAGTCTTATGATAAAAGATGTTCCCTCTCCGTCAACGAAGATTGTAATTAGCAGCACTTCAAACGAGGAAGCTTGATAAGTAATACCTCATGAAGCTATGTATGTAAACTATGTATATGCTGGGAAATCTTGAAGGTAAAATAATTTTCTAACACCCATATATAATTTTACAACAATTAATTTGTTGTGTTTCTTTTTCTCACAACAAAAGCTTCATGAAATTACTACTAACCAGAATTTACAACAAAATTAGTAAGACGAATTGTACAAATTAGCGACACAAATTTCACAACAATTACTAACAAAATATTATTTATCCATTTGCGTGACTGATAATACCGTAAATCCATAGCCAAATATTCATGAGAGTTAGGAAGATATGTTATAATCTGCACTTCATAATTGATGAACTAATCTACCGAATCTTCTAATCCGTCCCGCTGCCAAATACAATCGACCTTAAGAGTTGAACCACACAATTAAAAAACTTACGAAATGTGGCATTTTGAACCGCAAAAAAAAAAAAATGAAATGTGGCATATTTCTGTAAATAACTAAAAATAATTAACACTATCATAGTAAAAGAAAATTTGACATGAGTTTTACAAAATCTTATTCTACAAGGCAATGTACCTAATTTTTAATGTGATACAAGACAAGGTGGTTAGCATGTGAATCAGGCAGAACGTGTACCTAACTTATACTGTGATGGTCCTGATGGATCAGGTGGTTAGCATGTGAGACACTTTTTTTTAATAGGTTTTCTACAAAAAAACATTCTCACACATGCATGGATAGATTTGCAAGTTAACCATTTATTGGAAATTGGAAAAAAATGTAGATCAAACCATTTACCTACGAATTAACTCGCAATATAACCTTTATGTGTACTTCACCATTTAAGACATCTTTAACAAACTCTAAAACAAAGTCGTTTTGAAAAAGAAAATCAAACTAATAAAATGTAAAATACCGATTATTTCAAATGTTTATTTTGATTTACTAACGGAATTACTTAGATAACTACAATTTCTGTTAAAAAAAATGGAAAAATAAAAATCTGTAATCTCTAACCAAGTTCCATCTAGATCCCGATCCCTCCTGAAATATGGATTCAAGATCCCTGGTGATTTCAGTTGAGTTTTCTATTTAATATATTTCAACTGCTCTTAATGGAATGCATATCACCTAAGGTTCTTCAAAGTCAAGTTTTTCTTGGCTGTATAATGTATAAACTTTGTAAACTCTGTTAAAAACATATAATGTCTTACAGGTTGGCTAGTAGGTAAATAATTAACCTATATTTTTCTTTTTCCCTGAAAATCCTATATTTTTGGAATAACAAGAAATGGTTAAAGCGTGTCGACATGGCCTCTGGACCAATTGTGTGGTTTGAGTTTTAGCTCATGGTCTACAAGATTTAGTTCACGTGATTCTCTTCCAGTTCAATCTCCTTTCTAATAAGGAAACTCAAGCTGTCAGAAACAGATTTACGGATGGTGTGGTTGTAACTTGTAAGTTCTTTATTTCTAGATTGGGCAACCAATCAAAGAATTTTATTTTAATTTAATTACGTGGTTGAAAATAAAAGAAGTAGAAAGCCGAAAACGAGGCTTTCATGCAACATTTGTGACAGATTTTTTGGCGGTATAATTTACAAAATTTATGCATTATTTGGTCTGTATGAAATAGAATATGTGATGTTACAAAATTTAATCGTATATGATCTAGAAATATTTCGATGGTTTTCCATATTCTAATACTGGTTTTTTTTTTGTGAATTTTGAAACATAATTTGCTTCTCTCATTTTTCGTCATAAAATTCCCTCGTATCAATGTGACAGATTATACCTTGCAAATAGTTACGCAATTTGCAACGGTTTTTACTTTTTACAACACGACATGTAGTGCATCGCAATGCGGACGTAAAAGCTACGAATTTGCAACTTAAATTTTGTCACCACATGACAAAATGCATGTACATGTCACTTCCATTGCAAAACACCTATATGGTACTTTATAAAAAAAATACCTTTTAATGGTAATATTTGCGATAATCTATATAGTTTCTGAAAATCTATTTTCAAGTTTACTGTGTTTTAAAGTTCAAAAAAAGTTTACTGTGTTTTGTTTCTTATGCACCGTTTGTTTCGTTGATTTCCTTGATTTGTATTAATTAACTATATTTTATTGATTATGTCTGTTTCGAACCGTTCGTTTTGTTGTCCCAATTCAACCTTTAAACTATAATTATGGTTTATTTTACAACTAACAATTTATTAATTTTATTTTTACTTCCTAATTGTTAGATATCAAATTTTTTACCGAATTTTTATATCTATATCCTTGTTTAAGAAAATTTCGACAAATATAACTTTTGAAACATTTTGTCGAAAATAGCAGTACTGGATTTTTTAAAGAGGAATTTACTCATAATAACATTAATTTATCTGATTATTACTAGAATAGCGTTCATCGAAAAATATTTACTACACTAACACATATTTTAGTTATTTCAAGTGATATATCTAATAATTACACTTATGCTATTTAAATTTAAATTTTAACAAAAATATTTATAATTTAAATAAAATAGAATTAAACTCAAAATAGTATTGGATATCCTTGTTGCTATATTTTGAAGCCCACGTATTGGATATCTTTGTTGCTTCTTCTCCACCTTTAATCGTGCTTTGTTAAATAAGTTAGTGTATGAATATTGCAAAATCCATTGCAAAACCCAGATTATCTAATATTAAGAATCTGCATGAAAGAAAATATATAAAAAAGCTTTATATATCTGGAAATCACTCATTGAAAGACGGAAACATTTTTTAATAAGGCAAATCTGCTATAATTGAGATATCAAAATATAAATTTGCTAAAAGATGAAAATAAGTATGTCAATTAAATCTATTATGAAAATAAATCTATTTATTAAATCTAATACGAAAATAAGTCTATTAATTAAATTTGTCATAAAAATAAGTCTATTAATTAAATCTATCATAAAAACAAATCTGTGAATTTAATCTGTGATAAAAATAAATCTGTGTACTTAATCAGTCATAAAAAATCAAATCTAGTAAAAATAAATAAATTTATTGTGAAAATACAGTAAATCTATAATTATAATCTTTATTCAAAATAAATCGGTCAGAAAAAATAAATCTGTTGTTTCATGTAATAGATTTATCTACACAAGTCTGTTATTCTAAATAAACTTATGAAAGTTTTAAGAGCTATAATAACCTTACTAAATAGGGTATTTACTAGAATAACATCCTTCTACAACTGACTTACTACAATAACCTCACAAAGTTGTGTAAAGACATAAAACTCTAAATTTTCAATATAATAATGAAAATGCCATAAAAAAGCTATTTTGTAATAAATTAAATAAATAAATAAAATAAAGAAAATAAACAAAAGGGAAAATATGTTTTGTTGCCCGATAATGAAAGTGAAACAAAAAAAAAACAAAGAGGTTAAAACCTAAAAAAAAAAAGAAGGCGGCGTTGCGGTGAGGAAATTTGGAGATTTGAAGATTCCGGCTGCTTTGTAGGCGACAGATCGGAGGCGGCGTCGTAGGCGACGGATCGGATCGGTGCGAAGCGTCGGCGACGGATTGGATCGGTGCGCAGCATCGGCGGAGCAAAGGTCGTCGGTGGAGCAAAGGTACCGGGATTTTTAGTTTAATTTTCCGGTGGTTCTGACTTTGAGCTTCAAATCTAAGACTGTATTCATTTATTGCAGAAAACTGTTTATCGGGATTGTTTAGATCCGCCACCGGAAAATTGTTTTGCCTCTCCGTTGAGAAAGCTAAGGTCACCCGGCGGTAATATTTTTTTGGTTACGAAATTGCTTTGTTTATTGGGATTTTATGAGACAACTAATTGTTACTTATCCCTTTTTTATACAGATCTATCGGAGCTCGAGTTCGGATTGGTACAAAGTTGACCGGTGAAAACAGTTCGCTCGCCTGAGAAGATTATTCCGGTTAGGATTTACAGAGCCGTTATGGTAGATTTTTAATATATGTCGGGGTAATGGTAGTAGATTTATTCGATATATGGTATATAGTGGTGGTAGATTTGTTTATGGCTTAGTTTTTGTTGGTATTAAGGATGGTCATGGTGGTAGATTTGTTTGATAGTGGTGGTAGATTTGTTTGATATATATAGTGGTGGTAGATTTGTTTATGGCTTAGTTTTTGTTGGTATTAACGATGGTCATGGTGGTAGATTTGTTTGATAGTTGTGGTAGATTTGTTTGGTAGCTTAGCTTTGTTGTGGTAGATTTGTTTGATAGCTAGCTTTTGTATTGGTGGTAGATTTGTTTGATTTGTTTGAGAGGATGATTTGTTAGATTTGTTTGGCATCGATAGCTTGTGGTAGATTTGTTTGTCATCGTATGTATTAGATGTATTGGTAGTAAATTTATTTCATAGATTTATTGATTGATATATATATATATATATATATATATTAAATTTTTGCAGGTTATATGACATCTTCAAAGGATAAGAGGGGGCGAAAGCAGAAGTACCCACCGAGATTGTTTCCGCCTGGAAAATCTCCTGTGCAAAAGAGAAGCTTGAATCATTATTGTCATTTGTCGGACTTTGGGTTGCTGGTTGAGGGTGTTGGAGAGGATGTCTACAATAATATTATGCTCGGTTCTCAGGTTGGCGTGATGTTGAAGCTTGCCAAGAAGCGTTACATATGGGCTGCGGGTACGGTCCATAACTTCATAACAAACCAATTGGCGGTGCAAATGAGTTACGAAATCTGGTCACTTATTAGTGGGCGTCCATTGTGGTTTTCGCTTCACGAGTTTCGTGATATCACTGGCCTAAACTGTGAGCCATTTGCTGATGATGAGTGGGACATTGATCATAGAGAGTTCTGGAAAGAGATGGGTGTGAGTACAGGAGTCGGGTCTAATTGGCATGAGTTGGTTGCTGTTTTTGAAATATGCAGTACATGGTCGTCCGTGAAGAAGAAGATGGTTAGCTTGCTATTCACATTGCATGTAGCCATATTTGGTATTCATCGCAATTCGTGGATCCCTTTGGATTGTGCTAAAAGAGTGTTGGATGAGGCAGTTTTTGAGAGGTATCCGTGGGGTCGTGTCAGCTTTAAGCAGCTAATTTCGTCAGTTAAAATTGCATCGTTGGGAGGACTTAGCTACACGTTCCAAGGATGTGTCCACGCCCTTC